AACACCAAAGACAAAAGTGGCCATGGCAGTGAACACAAGCTAGAGAGGGGCAGAGTGAAACCACTGGCAGGTAAGACACTAACTGCCAGCTCTACATCTTCACCACCCAGACTTTCAAGTAGGGAAACAAAAATAGGCCAGATGCAGTTGTTCACACCTGTATTCCCAGCACTTTGGGAGGCCAAGGCAGGTGGATAACCTAAGGTCAGGGGTTCAAGACCAGCCTGGCCAACGTGGTGAAATCCTATCTCTACTAAAAATACAAAAATTAGTTGAGTGTGGTGGTGCACACCTGTAATCCCAGCTTCTCAGGAGGCTGAGGCAAGAAGATTGCTTGAACCCAGGAGGCGAAGCTTGCTTGGGCTACAAGAGCAAAACCTCATCTCCAAAAATTGAAAAAATGCCAAATGTGTTATTTACAGTCAAAATAAAGCTAGAAGCAACAAAGAAACAAAGATGTCCCTCACCAAGTGAGTGAATAAACAAACTGTGTACCATCCACACAATGAAGTACTAACCAGCATCAAAAAGGAATGAGCTAGGCCAGGCGTCGTGGCTCACGCCTGTAATCCAAGCACCGTGGAGGCCAAGGCGGGCGGATCACCTGAGGTTGGGAGTCCAAGACCAGCCTGACCAACATGGTGAAACCCCATGAAAAAAAAAAAAAATTTAGTTACTAATCAACCTAAAACTTGAATGAATCTTCCCCCACAAACCCCACGACACAGAGTCTTGCACTGTCGCCCAGGCTGGAGTGCAGTGGCGTGATCTCAGCTGACTGCATCCTCTGCCTCCCAGGTTCAAGCAATTCTCCTGCCTCAGCCTCCCAAGTAGCTGGGATTACAGGTGCCCACCACCACCCCTGGCTAATTTTTGGGTTTTTGTTGTTGTTGTTGTTGTTGTTTGAGGCAGAGTTTTGCTCTGTTACCCAGGCTGAAGTGCAATGGCATGATCTTGGCTCACTGCAACCTCTGACTCCAAGGTTAAAGAGATTCTCCTGCCTCAGCCTCTCAAGTAGTTGGGATTACAGGTGCCTGTCACCATGCCCAGCTAATTTTTTATATTTTTCGTAGAGATGGGGTTTCACCATGTTGGCCAGGCTGGTCTTGAACTCCTGACCTCAGGTGATCCACCCACCTTGACCTCCCAAAGTGCTGGGGTTACAGGTGTGGGCCACTGCACCCGGCCTAACTTTTGTATTTTTTTTTTTTTTTTTGAGACTGAGTTTCACTCTTGTTACCCAGGCTGGAGTGCAATGGTGCGATCTCGGCTCACCGCAACCTCTGCCTCCTGGGTTCAGGCAATTCTCCTGCCTCAGCCTCCTGAGTAGCTGGGATTACAGGCACGCGCCACCATGCCCAGCTAATGTTTTGTATTTTTAGTAGAGACGGGGTTTCACCATGTTGACCAGGTTGGTCTCGATCTCTCGACCTTGTGATCCACCTGCCTCGGCCTCCCAAAGTGCTGGGATTGCAGGCTTGAGCCACCGCGCCCGGCCCAATTTTTGTATTTTTAGTAGAGATGGGGTTTCACCATGTTGGCCAGGCTGGTTTCAAACTCCTGACCTCAGGTAATCCACCCACCTCGACCTCCAAAAGTGCTGGGATTACAGGCATGAGCCACTGCGCTGGACCAAACTTGGATAAATCTTAAAACTCATTTTGTTCGGTGATTTAAAAAGTTGGACTCAGAAGTCTACATATTATATAATTCCATCTGGAGAACATTCTGGAAAAGGCAAAACTACGGAATAGGAAGCAGACTAGTGGTTGCCAGAGCCTGAGGAAAGAAGGAGTGGCTGATTTTTAGAAAGAGAACACAAAGCACTCTTGGGGGCCGGGGTTGTTCTGGAGGGTAACTGGGTAGCGGATATGACTCCAAGCTATTGTACATCACAAAGAATGAAGTTAAAAGCCTGTAATTTTTAGGGTGGGTGAGGTGGCTCACACCAGTAATCCCAGTACTTTGGGAGGCTGAGGAAGGAGGATCATTTGAGCCCAAGAGTTCAAGCCCAGTCCTGTCAACATAAGACCCTGTGTCTACAAAAAAATAAAAATAACAAAAATTACCCAGGCGTGGTGGCATGCACCTGTAGTGCCAGCTACCTGGGAGGCTGAGGTGGGAGGATCAGTTGAACCCAGGAGTTCAAGGCCATAGTGAGCCAAGACTGCACCGCTGTATTCCAGCCTGGGCAACAGAGCAAGATGCTGTCTCAAAGAAAACCAGTATGCAATTTTAAAAAACTTGGCCAGGTGCGGTGGCTCTCACTTGTAATCTGAGCAGTTTGGGAGGCCAAGGCAGGCAGATCACGAGGTCAGGAGTTTGAGACCAGCCTGACCAACATGGTGAAACCCTGTCTGTACTAAAAAATACAAAAATGAGCCAGACATGGTGGCACGCACCTGTAATCCCAGCTACTCAGGAGGCAAAGGCAGAAGAATTGCTTGAACTCAGGAGGCGGAGGTTGCAGTGAGTTGAGATTGCGCCACCGTACTCCAGCTTGGGCGACAGAGCGAGACTCCATCTCAAAAAAAAAAAAAAATGACCAGGAGTTGTGGGATCCCAGGATAGGAAGTAGCCGGTGGCGGATGAACCTGACTACATAATCAGCAGCGAAGACACAACCTTAGTGAGGGGCTGGGAAGAGAGGACTGACCTGAGTAGCCCTGGAAAACAGCGTTTTGGCTGGAAACTGAAAATGAAGACAAAAGGACTTATAAACGAACACTGAACTCCAGTTAGTAAATTTGTTTCTTATGAGATGTGGGTTGCTAATTCTGAAACTACACTTACAAGAGAGTTGAACAAATGAGTGAATAAATGGAGCTGAGAGTAGTGGCCCACACCTGTAATCCTAGCACTCTGAGAGATCGAGGCAGGTGGATCACTTGAGGTTGGGAGTTCAAGACCAGCGTGGCTAACAGGGTGAAACCCTGTCTGTACTAAAAAATACAAAAATTAGCCAGGCATGGTAGCAGTGCTTTAATAGTAGCCACTCAGGAAGCTGAGGCAGGAGAATCACTTGAGCCCAGGAGGCAGAGGCTGCAGTGACCTGAGACCCCACTACTGCACTCCAGCCTGGGAAACAAAGTGAGATACTGTCTCAAAAACAAAACAAAACAAAACAAAAAAAACCTTCCAATTTATATATTTTTTAAGTAAATAAAAGGCAGAAGTGAGAGCCAGGCAGAATGAGCCCTGGAGCCCTGGGGTGCTGGGTTAGGCTCTGAGGTCCCAGCATACATTCCTACTTATTTTAATATATGTGTCTATGGATACGTACAAACATAAATGCAGCTATGAGCGTATATACAGACTAGCTCCCACACACAACCTTCCTCACTCCGTCCATGGAGACTGGCCAGAAGCAGCAGCAACATCCCAGCAGCAGTAAGCACACCTAATACCCATTCTTGGTCTCAATACCACAATAAAGTAAAAGACTCCAAGACTCCTTGGAGAAACAGCTGACTAAGACGGAGACAGAAACTACACAATGAGCCTGGGGCACCTTGCAATGCCAGAAAGCCAGGGTGTGCTTAAAACACACATGACGGCCGGGCGCGGTGGCTCACGCCTGTAATCCCAGCACTTTGGGAGGCCAAGGCGGGTGGATCACGAGGTCAGGAGATCGAGACCATCCTGGCCAACATGGTGAAACCCCGTCTCTACTAAAATAAAAAAAATTAAAAAAATAAAAAAAACACACATGACACAGGGGCCACCTGAAAGGGCTCCCCGTGAACAGGGCTGCAATAATTTAAGCATCAAAATAATGCTGAGGCTACAGTAAGCTGTGACGGCACTCCAGCCTGGGTGACAGAATGAGACCCTGTCCCAAAAGTAAATAAATAAGAGCGGGTTTTATAGAACCCATCCAGAGACTATTCTTCCAGTCCCCGCCTATGAGTTAGATCTTTCCTGCAATAATGCAGATTAAAAACCAAACTTGCCGGCCAGGTGTGGCGGCTCACGCCTGTAATCCCAACACTTCGGGAGGCCGAGATGAGCAGATCACTTGAGGTTAGGACCAGCCTGGCCAATGTGGGGAAACCCCGTCTCTACTGAAAACACAAAAATTAGCCAGGTGTGATGGTGGGTGCCTGTAGTCCCAGCTACTTGGGAGACCGAGGCAGGAGAATCACTTGAACCCAGGACACGGAGATTGCAATGAGCCAGGATCACACCACTGCACTCTAGCCTGGGCGACAGAGCAAATGCCAGATATAGGTGATGGGGAGGAAGGCAGCAAATCCCAGTGCTATGTGTGTACCTATGCAACAGTCTTGCATGTTCTTCATATGTACCCCAAAACCTAAAATGCAATTAAAAACAACAACAAAACTTGCCTAAAACAGTGTGAACTGAGTCTAGCTAGAATCAAATAGCTAAAATATAGGCTTTTAACACAACACTCTAAAATTAGTCAATTCCAAATTTAATGTTTTCTTCCAAGTGCAAACAAAACCCATATCCATAAAATAATCAACTCAACACATATGGAATTCATCCCACCAGGCATCTGACAGGAATCAGGGACAAGAAAACTGATCACAGCCCTCCCTGCACTGCCGGGCTCTCTGCTCGCACAGCTTTGTGAGAAATGAGGTGCCAGGCCTGAGAAACACTGAACAGCCAGGCGAATCCATCAAAAGGGCAACCCGAATAAAGGGAATTCATGACACTCCTCAAATTTATGAAGGGCAGCTTCTCTTCAATGTCCTGCGGGAAAAACAAAAAGAAAGCTCACAAGGAAGGCGGATCTGAGCTCAGGCTGAGGGTCTCAAGAGAGGCTTCCATCCACGGGCAACACTAGAATGTGCAGGCAGCAGCAAGTGGGGCCTACAGGGCGAGCCTCTGCCTCCAGCTCTCTATGCTTCCAGTTTCCACTTTCAAAGAGAGGCCCTGTAGAGATGGAATGTCCTCTCACTGGTTTGGATTTCTACAACATAAAGAAATCCTGACACGGAATACACATTAACGAAGAACTTGAAGAATACCTTTGTGATGACCCCACGCTGCTCCAGATGGTGGTCACTGACTGTGATGACCCCACGCTGTCCTGGATGGTGGTCACTGACTCTGACGACCCCACGCTGCTCCGGATGGTGGTCACTGACGGTGACGACCTCACGCTGCTCCGGATGGTGGTCACTGACGGTGACGACCCCACACTGCTCCGGATGGTGGTCACTGACGGTGATGACCCCATGCTGCTCCGGATGGTGGTCAATGTTCCACCATCCAGAATGGTGGTGCAGCTGTTCCAAGTCCTCTCTCTTCTCTCCATCACAGTCCTCCAGCTAAGAAGGGGAGGCCGAAAGAAGCTTTTAAAGCAAGGTCCATGGCTACAGCCTCAGGCCCTTCCTAGGTCATCTACCTGCAGATCTATGCTGACTCCATTTCACAAGGAGAGCTCACTTTCACCTGTTCGGAATGTGCACCTTGCACCTAAACAATTCTCAAGCCCTAAACATTGTTTAATGCAAATCATTTCCCTAATGATGTTCCTGCCCCTATTCTTTTTCTTTTTTTTTTTGAGACGGAGTTTCACTCTTGTTACCCAGGCTGGAGTGCAATGGCGCGATCTCGGCTCACCGCAACCTCCGCCTCCTGGGTTCAGGCAATTCTCCTGCCTCAGCCTCCTGAGTAGCTGGGATTACTGGCATGCGCCACCATGCCCAGCTAATTTCTCTGTATTTTTAGTAGAGACGGGGTTTCACCATGTTGACCAGGACGGTCTCGATCTCTTGACCTCGTGATCCACCCGCCTCAGCCTCCCAAAGTGCTGGGATTACAGGCTTGAGCCACCGCACCCGGCTTCCTGCCCCTATTCTTAATGAATTCTACTTTTTAAAAAAATTTAATTAATTTTTGAGACAGGGTCTCACTCTGTCACCCAAGCTGGCATGCAGTGATGCAATCACAGCTCACTGCAACCTTGACCTCCTGGGCCCAAGTGATCCTCCTGTCTCAGCCCCCTGAGTAGCTAGAACTACAGGCATGCACCACTGCACCCAGCTAATTTTTTTTATTTTTTGTTGAGACAAAGTCTCTATGTTCATACTGTTCCCAGGCTGGCCTCAAAATCCTGGGCTCAAGTAATCCTCCCATCTCAGCCTCCCAAAATGCTGGGATTACAGGCATGAGCCATAGTACCCAGACTAACCTGCTTATAACAAGACAATTCATTAAGAACATTTCAATTTCCTCCCAGAATTGCAAAGAGGAAAAACAATAATGTAGGCTTTTCGGGATCATTAGATGAGTCACAAGATGAACGCAGAGAGAGAGAGAGCACTCATGTCCAGTGATGATGGCAAAACTGACCTGAAAATAAAATCTCAGGCAAGACTTCATTTAACAATACCCTAGCATCAATTCTCTCAGAATCAAGAGGCAGTGAGCAATGGGTGTCCAAGGACGAAAGGGCACACAGGAGTCTCCATCAGCTACCTGCTCACATGAAGGATTCCACCTCAAATGAACCTCCACCATCCGTTTCCTTAAGAGGACACCTATCAATATTCTTTCACTTCTAATGTTTGTGTGCCAAAACTTAATTGCTACAAAGCAGTTGGATCAAATTTCTAATAAAGCTGTTTTAAATTATTGCTTTATTCTTACTTCTGTAAATTACTTGCAAAAAAACTTAAAATGACAAAATAGCAAAGAGGGTCCAGGAATCTGGATGATAAATGGTGTCCTGGTATTTGATACAATTATGAGTTGGAAAAGTGCTGGAACCACACTTCTGAAACCTTCTACAGCACTAGTTAATCTTCAGCCAGGAGTTTTTGTATTTTCTTCTGAAATTCTTGACCTCTGGGCAATTTTTGGAGGGTTCTTTTACCAAAAAAATGGCCTGGCACAGTGGCTCACGCCTGTAATCCCAGACCTTTGGGAGGCCGAGGCAGGTGGACGACCTGAGTTCAAGAGTTCAAGACCAGCCTGGCCAACGTTGTAAAACCATCATCTCCACTAAACAATACAAAAATTACCCAGGCATAGTGGAAGGTGTAATCCCAGCTACTCAGGAGGCTGAGGCAGGAGAATCACTTGAACCTGGGAGGCAGAGGTTGCAGCAAGCTGAGATTGTATCACTGCACTCCAGCCTAGGCGACAGAGAAAAACTTCGTCTCAAAAAAAAAAAAAAAAAGAAAAAGAAAAAGCCTCTCTTTATTTTGTTCCTCATCTATAACTGAAAGGTCAAATTCTGCTTTCTACCACTGCTTTATTTTTATGATTTTTTTGAGACAAGGCCTCACTCTTCCACCCAGGCTGGAGTGCAGTGGTACCACCATAGCTCACTGTAGCCTCAAAATCCTGGGCTCAGGTGATCCTCCCAACTCATTCTCCTGAGTAACTGAAACTGCAGGTGTACACTGTCATGCCCAGCTAATTTTTATATTTTTTACAGAGACAGAGTCATACTCTGTTGCCCAGGGTGGCCTTAAATTCCTGGGCCCCAGTGATCCTGCCACCTTGGCCTTCCCAAGTGCTGGGATTACAGGCATGAGCCACCAAGCCTGACCTTGCTTTCTTTCATTTCTGAGTTAATTTCCAGAACTGAGATAACTGTTGCATTGGTTGAAGTATTTTTTTCATCATGCACTTCACTTAACAAACTGTAAGGAAGATAGCTGAATCCCGAATATTTACCATAAAGTCTTTCTGCAATTCTATCTTCACTTGCAACCATCCTGAAAAAAAACTGCAATCTTAAAACTGGTTAAAAATAAGCCTTCTGGCCAGGAGTGGTGGCTCACGCCTATAATCCCAGCACTTTGGGAGGCCCAGGCGGGCAGATCACCTGGGGCTGGGAGTTTGAGACCAGCCTGACCAACATGGTGAAACCCCATCTCTACTAAAAACACAAAATTAGCTGGGTGTGGTGGTGCATGCCTATAATCCCAGCTTCTCAGGAGGCTGAGGCAGGAGAATCGCTTGAACAGGGAGGTGGAAGTTGTGGTGAGCCGAGATCACACCACTGCCCTCCAGTCTGGGCAACAAGAGTGAAAATCTGTCTCAAAAAAAAAAAAAAAAAAGCCTTATATCATCTTAGAATTTAATAGCATATCCTGTAAGAATGTATTACAGGCTGGCCATGGTGGCTGACACCTGTAATCCCAGCACTTGGGGAGGCCGAGGCGAGTGGATCACCTAAGGTCAGGAGTTCAAGACAGGTCTGGCCAACATGGGTGAAACCCCATCTCAACTAAAAACACAAAAAAATTAACCGGGTGCAGTCATGGGCACCTGTAATCCCACCTACTTGTGAGGCTGAGGCAGGAGAATTGCTTGAACCCCGGTGGCGGAGGTTGCAGTGAGCCGAGATCACACCAGAGCACTCCAACCTGGGCAATAGAGCGAGACTCAGCCTCAAAAAAAAAAAAAAGTACACTGTGGAAATCAAAGTAAGCAATTTATTATATGTTGGAAAACATAATTATTTCTTCTTTACACACATACACACACACACACGCTTAACATCTTATGCTGTTCAATAAGCTCATTAGACTCCCCATAGTCAAACCTGTCTCACAATTTATACACGGGCAAAATAAAACAAATGCACCTTTAATTATGTTCAAAGCACTGGCACAACATACAACATAAAGGCTCCTCAAGGATTCCTACTCTAGAGGGGAGTGCCCTGGACTGGGAGACTGGGACGTTGTTTGGCCACACAGCCACCTACTGCCAGCTTTGTAACAGTGGACTCTTCCAAGTATTTCACTTTTCAGAAGAGCATTATTCTGAACACAAAAATCACTCCTATTTTAACATCTAAAACTGTATTAAAAGCATATTAAACTCAATTATGAATTATTTTATAACACATATGAAAAAAGTCCTTTTTAGACTCAACTGATGATGTACGATGATATAATCAGAGAAAAAGTTAATGAAATATCTGCTTTTTACAACACCAATGGTTTTTATATACATAATTATAACAAAAAGCCCTCATTAAGAAATCTGGGGCTGGGTGCGGTGGCTCAAGCCTGTAATCCCAGCACTTTGGGAGGCCGAGGTGGGTGGATCACGAGGTCGAGAGATCGAGACCATCCTGGTCAACACGGTGAAACCCCGTCTCTACTAAAAATACAAAAAATCAGCTGGGCATGGTGGCGTGTGCCTGTAATCCCAGCTACTCAGGAGGCTGAGGCAGGAGAATTGCCTGGACCCAGGAGGCGGAGGTTACGGTGAGCCGAGATCGCGCCATTGCACTCCAGCCTGGGTAACAAGAGCGAAACTCAGTCTCAAAAAAAAAAAAAAAAAGAAATCTGATTCATAACTTAGTATTCAGCAGAAAGATTATAGCTCTACTTTACACATACCACTAATTTTACCTGTAGATGTGTAAAAAATATAAATTTAGCCAGGTGAAATAGCTCACACCTGTAATTCCAGCACTTTGGGAGACCAAGGTGGGAGAAGTGCTTTAGTACTGGAGTTTGAGACCAGCCCTGGCAACCTAACGCTGTCTCTACAAAATTTTTTTTTTTGAGACGGAGTTTCACTCTTGTTACCCAGGCTGGAGTGCAATGGCGCGATCTCGGCTCACTGCAACCTCCGCCTCCTGGGTTCAGGCAATTCTCCTGCCTCAGCCTCCTGAGTAGCTGGGATTACAGGCACGTGCCACCATGCCCAGCTAATTTTTTGTATTTTTAGTAGAGACGGGGTTTCACCATGTTGACCAGGTTGGTCTCGATCTCTCGACCTTGTGATCCACCCGCCTCGGCCTCCCAAAGTGCTGGGATTACAGGCTTGAGCCACTGTGCCCGGCCCAAAATTTTTTTTAAAGTTAGCCAGGCATGGTGACACATGCCTGTAGTCCCAGGTACTAGAGAGGCTGAGGCAGGAGGATCACTTGAGGCCAGGAAGTCAAGGCTGGAATGAGCCATGATTGTGCCACTGTACTCCAACCTGGGCAACAGAGAAAGATCCTATTAAAAAAAAAAAAAAAAGAAAAAAAAAAAGCTGATGTCCAAGATCCTGTAGGGGTTAATGCCTGATGACTGCATATTTAGCTTATTAAAATAACAGGAATTCTGTGGGGAAAAAAGCTGGCCAGTACCTGACCTTTGCCCACCATTTTGGAGCCAGTGGACAGGAAAACAAGGTGTTTCTCTGCTGATTTCAAGCTGCAACTATGCAGAGGGATTCAGGATGATATGAGATGAAAACAGGTCAGGCCCTGCTAGACCTTCATTCCATGCAGACTTCTGGCTGTAGGAGCACATACATTTTTCCGAGAAAATATCCTTACATTTACCAGCTTCTGGTTTTGAAAATATTGCTTTAAATATGTTACTACTCACAGTAACAGTCATTCTATAAGAAACAAAATGCTTTACCTTGGCCATCTTCCCATTGATTCACCAAGTTTTGTGAAAGCAGATCCCTCCTCACATCTCCCACCCCATGCTTGAGGGTGAAGGGTTCTGCCCACTGTGGTCAGGAGGGGGTGACAACAAATGCAGGAAGCGGAGTGAGTGTGTGTATGTATCACTACATCATGGGGACCAGTAATGGGTCTGCTATTTATGCACTGCTTTAAGATGTCCAAAATACACATTTTATTAGTGGTACAGTTAAATTCTAAAATGGAAAAAAATTGTTATATAATAAAATAATAAAAATTCTTACATAAGTACTTTATATAATAAAGTAATATGTTTACTGTAGAAAATACCAAAAATAGGCTGATTGCGATGGCTCATGCCTGTAATCCCAGCACTCTGGGAGGCCAAGGCAGGAGATCACGAGGTCAGGAGTTCAAAACCAGCCTGACCAACATGGTGAAACCCCATCTCTACTAAAAATACAAAAATTAGCCAAGCACAGTGGCATGCACCTGTAATCCCAGCTACTCAGGAAGCTGAGGAAGGAGAATCGCTTAAACCCAGGAGGCAGAGGTTAAAGTGAGCTGAGATTTCGCCACTGCACTCTAGGCTGGACAACAAGAGTGAGACTCGGAAGGAAGGAAGGAAGGAGGGAAGGAGGGAAGGTGGGAGGGAGGGAGGGAGAAGGAGGCAAGAAGAAAGGGAGGAAGGAGAAGAGAGGAAGGAAGAAGGAAGAAAGGAAAAGGAAGGGAGGGAGAGAGGGAGGGGAAGGGGAAGGGGAAGGGGAGGAAGGAAGGATGGAAGGGAGGAAAGAAGGAAGGAAACACCAAAAACAGTAACAAGAACAAAACCAACAACTCTATTCCTTTCTGACCACCAGTGTTAATATTCTGGTATGCACCCTTCTGGTTTTGAAAACAAAAATCAAAATGGTTTTCATAAGATCATCTTCCTGAATGAAGGCATGCATCAAACAGCAGAGTTAGAAACTAAGAGAGTCGGGCCGGGTGCGGTGGCTCAAGCCTGTAATCCCAGCACTTTGGGAGGCCGAGGCGGGTGGATCACGAGGTCGAGAGATCGAGACCATCCTGGTCAACATGGTGAAACCCCGTCTCTACTAAAAATACAAAAAATTAGCTGGGCATGGTGGTTCGTGCCTGTAATCCCAGCTACTCAGGAAGCTGAGGCAGGAGAATTGCCTGAACCCAGGAGGCGGAGGTTGCAGTGAGCCAAGATCACGCCATTGCACCACTCCAGCCTGGGTAACAAGAGCGAAACTCTGTCTCAAAAAAAAAAAGAAACTAAGAGAGTCTATAGCTGATGAAACAGCAAAGCAAAGTATGAATGTTTAATCAGGAGTCAACACCATGCCTTCTCATGTTAACACCCCCAACAGTCTCCAAATACAATGTACACAAAATGTGTTAAGTTTATAATGGTTTTCTGACAGGATCCTGAGATCCCACATATATTTCTCCATCTGTGTCAGCTTACTACTTTTAAAACGTATATGCAATCAGAGGGCTGGGCACAGTGGCTCATGCCTATAATCCCAGCACTTTGGGAGGCCGAGATGGGTGGACTGCTTGAGGTCAGGAGGAGCTCAAGACCAGCCTGACCAACATGGTTTGAAACCCTGTCTCTACTAAAAGGACAAAAATGGTGGTGAATACCTGCAATCTCAGCTACTTGGTAGGCTGAGGCAGGAAAATCACTTGAACCCTGGAGGCAGAGGTTACAGTGAAACAGGATCCTGCCATGGCACTCCAATCTGGGTGACAGAGTGAGAATCTGTCTCAAAAAAAAAAAAAAAAGCATATGCATCCAGAATGTATCAAAAGTAACTTTCTGGCCAGTGTGGTGGCTCACGCCTATAATCCTGGCACTTGGAGAGGCTGAGGCAGGAAGATCACTTCGGCCTGGGAGGCAGAGGTTGCAGTGAGCTGAGTTCGCACCACTGCACTCCAGCCTGGGCAAGAGAGAGAGACTCTGTCACAAAAAGAAAACGAGAGGAAAAAAAAAAAAGACACCAACCCAAACATCAAAAAAACTCAGGAGAGAAAAAACAAAATCCAGGATTTGTAGGTACAATAACACAAATTTTAACTGTTGGCACCAATTCAATTTTTTAAGTAAAGTAGGATAGACACATTATGACCTTGAGCCAGATTCTGCCCTTGGCCACCAGATTTCCAGCCAATCCTAGCAAAAACCTAAACCTGCACCCACTCTCCTGCAGCAGCAGGGACACCCAATACCCAAGGCCCTCATTCGTAATTCACACAAGAGGCCCAAGGACACCTACAGGCAGGCTTGCAGCCCCAAGAAGGCTGGAAGGCCAGCCCCTTCAGGACTCAGTGTGCAACCCACACCCACCCACGGGGTGCCCCCGCAGCTAAAAAGGCCTCAACAGCAGACCCAGTCTCCTCCAGCAACACATCACTTCTGCAACAACTTCACCCCTTCCCTCATCTCACTTTATTAAAAAGGTAAAAGACAAAGGTGACAAACTGGTGCATTTACAAGTACGTGAAGGAATATTATGTTTTAAGTGTCCCAAAAAAAAACCATCAAAGAAGCTGGCTGATACACACAACCACACAGGAAGAACTCCCAGTTTTCCATTACAAAGCAAACAACTGACACTTGCCTTCAAGCAGTTAATCTAAATTTTCTCAAAATTACATAATAAAGATAAAACAGGGCTAGGTGCAGTGACATGTGCCTATAATTCCAGTATTTTAGAAGGCTGAGGAGGTAGGATTATTTGAACCCAGGGATTTGAGGCTGCAATGAGCTGTGATCACACCACTGTACTTCACCCTGGGCAACAGAACAAGGCCCTGTGTGGAGCAGGCAAACCAAAAAAAAAAAGAAAAAAAAAAAACAAATTTATGCAGAACAAAAGAGTTGGGCCCGGCACGGTGGCTCAAGCCTGTAATCCCAGCACTTTGGGAGGCCAAGGCGGGTGGCTCACGAGGTCAAGAGATCGAGACCATCCTGGTCAACATGGTGAAACCGCGTCTCTACTAAAAATACAAAAATTACCTGGGCATGGTGGCGCGTGCCTGTAGTCCCAGCTACTCAGGAGACTGAGGCAGGAGAATTGCTTGAACCCAGGAGGCGGAGGTTGCGGTGAGCCGAGATCGTGCCACTGCACTCTATCATGGCACCTGGTGACAGAGTAAGACTGTCCCCCCCCAAAAAAAGAGTAAAACCTTAAAAACTTAGTTTTTTTTTTTTTTTTTTGAGACAGAGTTTCACTCTGTCACCCAGGCTGGAATGCACTGGCATGATCTCGGCTCACTGCAACCTCCCCCTTCTGAGTTCAAGCAATTTTCCTACCTCAGCCTCCCGAGTAGGTGGGATTACAGGCGTGCGCCACCACGTATGGCTAATTTTTGTATTTTTAGTAGAGACAGGGTTTCTCCATGTGGCCAGGCTGGTCTCCAATGCCTGACATCAGGTGATCCGCGCGCCTCGGCCTCTCAAAGTGCTGGGGTTACAGGCGTGAGCCACCACACCCGGCCCTCACTTTTTGTAACTAAAACAACACCCTCTTTCCTCACCTTTGAAAGGGAGAAACAGACCAAAGACCACCTTTAGTAAACCACACCAGAAATCACTAAGCAAAACGCTTAAAGACAACACTGAGCAAATCTACCTGAGCTGCAAAGGCCCCTCCTGTCCCATCAGGGGTGCGGTCACATGATGGGCTTTTGTAAACGTCCCCTCCTCCACGGACTTCGCTGTCGTCCTTGGCTACCGGACTCTCCTCCTGGACAGGCGCATCGACAGCCGAGCCCTTCCTCTTCGCCGTCTTTTTCTCCGAATGCGCACAGTCGCCTTTGGTTTTTCTCTGTCGGAAGTGAGCAAGCTGCGCAAAAACGTAGATAAGTAGTAAAGGCAGAGGTAAACAAGAAAAAAATAACAGAACCACAAAGTCAACAGACTGGTGGGGACCATGAGCCAGAGGGCTGACCCAGTCTACTCTGCCACACCGGGCCAACAGATCGCTCTCCACAAACACTGCCTTCAGCAATATCTATATCCAAGGGGTCTAACAATGAGGACTGCTAATTATGCCTGACAGAGGAAAAAGAACCATACGGCTAATTGGCAGAATAGCTTTCCTAGTCCTTGACAGTTTACAGAGAAATATAACTTTAAAAAAACACGTCTATATAAAAGACTGATAGCTTAATCGAGGCATATTTAAGTTTTAAAATGATATAAAAGCTAAATCTCTCCCTTTTTGCCCCAATTTTCCCCCAACTGGAGAAATATATAGCCCAGCCAAAACTTCCTAGCCATAGATTCTGAGACAAGGTACAGAAATAGCAAAAAATTAATTAAGCCAGGTCAATCTCACATCTTCCTTTACGGAATCAGATGTTCTATTTTTCATGACACAGCTCATCAAAGCACCAGGGACCTCCACAGAGCATCGCCCATCAGAAGGCACAGTCTAGCTCTGCTCCGTCCTCACATCCGAGGGTTTAAGACTATGTGCATGCCTCACCTCCCACTAACGTCTTTCTCAAGAGGGATGCGATCCCGCGTCAGCCTTTCACGGCGAGGCATCTGTTCTCTCAAATGACAACTGTGGCCACAAAAACAAATGCATGGAACACACGTTTGTGTAAATGATAACACAAGTACACAAGCTCCTGGACCCAGGAAGATTACACAAGGCAATCTGGACGGTCTCTCAAGGAAAGACTTTATTCGAAGCCAACCCCATCTCGTTTATTTTCATGCCCTCGTCCGGCACACCTAACCATCGGGGGAACAGCACAGCCTGGGTCTGCAGCCTGGGTCGCCCTACAGGCGGCGTCCTGTCCCTCCCTCCCCACCCTCCGCTCCCCCAGCGGGCTCCGGGCTCCCCTTTCCCTCCTGCCCGCCTCAAACGCCGGCGCAGCTCCGAGTCCCCTGCCCGCCGCGCCCGGGAGCCCCGCTCTTCCCCAGCACCCCGGCCCGAGCATCCGGGGAAACCGGGTGCACGTCACAGGGGGGCCAGCCTCGTCCCGGCAGCTCCCGAGGTTCCGCCTCGCGCTCTCGGGACCCCAGTTTCCAGTACCCCCAAACAAGGGCTCTGCGCGCTTTATTCCCCTCAGGAAACGCAGGACCGAGGCCATTAAACCGAGCGCCTTAACACGGCGAAACCCGAGGCAGGATAAAGACGGGAAGGCGCCCCTCGCAGAAGCCCGGCGCCAGCACCGCTGGCTTCCCGGCAGCACCCGGACGGGCAGGAGGAGCTCCGCGGGAACCTTTCACACAGGAGGGGCCGCGACGCCGCGGGAAACGCGCGTGGGAAAGCGCCTCCGACGGACGGAGGGGAAGCGCGCCATAAGGAGGCGCTGAGACTGCCCGTGCCACGCCCCTGGCCGCGCAGGAAACTGGCCCGAGACCGGACAGCCCCGAGTACCCGCCGCCCTCTCCGAGCCACCCGGGTCCGGAGGACGCAGGGGTAGCTGGAGGCTCTAGCCTGGGGCCCAGCACCCGCCACACCTCCTCCTCGCAGCCACACCCCCTCCGCCACGCCCTGCTCTGTAGCCCCGCCCCTCCCGGCGTGCTCCGCGCCCGGCCCGTCGACGGAGCAGGCACAGCCCTGCCCGAGAGGCGCCGCGCGTCCCGGCCGCTGATTGGCTGTGGCTGCAGCGGGGGCGGGCCCTGGAGGAGAGCGGCGGATTCAAGATGGCGGCGGCCAGGAGGCGGCTTCCAGCGGAGCGGGCGGGAAAAGCGAGACCTCGACTGCAGCTTCCGCCGGGCCGCGTCCGCTCATGACAAGGGGCGGTGGCGGGCATCGGAGCCGCCCTTAAGACTTCACGCCGGAGCAGCAAGAGAAGAAGCCCCTGGTGTTTACCTTCGCCCTCCCGGCCTCCACCTTTCTGCGCCGTTGCTCTTGCTGAGCTTCCATCTCCCTCAGACTCCGCGCCAGACGCCCGGTGGTGGCGGGGCTGACACCGAGCCGCCTTCGCTGTATTTACACTCCCTCCCCCGCACCGGGGCTCGCCCTCCCCCGCGACAAGTGTCACGCAGCTGCGGCCCCGCCCCCGCCGCGCGCCGCCAATCAGGGGGGCCCGCGTCCCCGGTCTCGCGCACGCGCCCTCAGGGCCGTGCGACCTGGACGGAGCTCCGCCCTGCATGCTCGTCGGCCACAGATTGGTGCGCTCACGTACCCGCCTCCTCCGGCAGGACCAGTAAGCGGAGCGCGGGGGCCTGACGCCCGCTGTGATTGGCCGATTTTAAAAAGCGGGCGAGCGGCTATTTGCGCTGCTGGTCTCGCGCGGACGGGGGTCTCAGCCTGGTGGCCCGCGGGCCGGACTGCGTGCAGCAGCCGCTGGGACCAGACCAGGCTGTTTTCCCCAGCTCAGGAGTTTGTCGTTGGCTGTGGGCCGCCCCGGGAGTGGAACGGACTCTGGAGGAGACTTCCGAAATGACCGAAGCCCGGACTCAGTCCGGGGTCCGCACGGCCTGTGACCTGCGGCGGAGCGGTCGGCGTGGGCGTTTTCTTAGCAGCCCGCGCGCGTGGGCGGGACTCGGGAAACGAACTGGAGCAAAGTGGCAGAAAACCAGGACGCGGTGGGTGACCTCGCGGGGCCCTGTGTTTGCTGGGGCGTGTTCTAAAGCGAATCGCTTCTTTGCTGTGTCCAAGGCTGGTTTCTGGGTTTCTCTCTGGGCCCGCCGCCTCTTGGTGCGCCTTCACTCGCGAACCCTAGGCCGTGGGGGGCAGTCAGGGCCCTTCCCCGAGCGCGCCGGAGCGGCTCTGCGCTGACCCAGCCTCCTCGTGCAGCCTCCGCGAGAACTTGTGATCCTTAAATGTCCTTCAGGAAGCCCTGGAAACTCGACCGCCAGAAACTTCTCCTGCTGCCTCAGGCCACAGCCTTCGTGTGGGGAGCGAGGTGTCCAGCAGTCTCCTGGTTCCTAGACTCGGAATTGGACGGCTTGAGCAGACTCTGGGCAGCGGGCTTGTGAGACCAGCAGTCAGGCAGGCAGCACAGCCACGTGAGCGGGGGCTGTGCCTGCAGGATCGCGCTTTCCAGAAACACCCAGATTCAGCCTGGATCTCACAACTGTTACGTGTTAAAATACATGCAGAACTGTGGGGCGGAGGGAATGTGCCCAGTTCGCCTGGATTGTGTTCCTCAGAACCGCGGAGTGGTTTCTGTGGACATTCTAGAGATGTTCTGCAAATGCTGGATTTGGGTTTTATTTCGTTGTTTTTCTTTTTATAGACAGGGTCTCAGTTTGTCATACAGGCTGAAGTGCAGCCTCAGCCTCCCTGGTCTCGGGTGTTTCTCCATGTCAGCCTCCTGACGGCTGGAATTACAGGCACACCCTACCGTGCTCGGATAATTGTTATGTTTTTAGTAGACACAGGGTCTCGCTCTGTTGCCCAGGCTGATCTTGAACTCCTGGGCTCGAGTGATCCGCCCTCCTCGGCCTCCCAAAGTTCGGGAGTTACAGGTGACCAACCTTGCCCAGCCTCAATTGATTTTAAACTATTAAAAAGCTGTCAAGGCCAGGCAACCACTGCACTCCAGCCTGGGTGACAGACTGAGACCCTGACTCAAGAAAAAACAAAAGCTGCCCCAATAAATTCTGTAGATACCCTCAAGGAAGCGACCATAACTCCCCACCCCTTAAGTGTAGACCGCGTAGCCCATTCCTCCCAAAGAGTGCAGTAAAGAAAAGGAAACTCACTTTGTTGTGGAGAAACTGTGACAGACTCCACGTCTGCCAGGTGACTCGGGTCAGCCTCACAGAGTTACAGTTGAGGTGACTGTGTCTGCTGTGATGGAATGACAGTGGCCCTTCTCCGCTAGAGGCTTCCTTTCTATAGCCCGCAGTCCCAGCCTAACCGGGAGAAAACAGGCAAATTTCAATTGAGAGACACTCTTCAAACCTGTTAAGGTCATCAAAAGCGAAGAGTCTGAGAAGGAGCCAGAAGAGAGAACTCAACTAATGCATTGTTCTGATGGGGACCGGGTACTGCCTTAGGGACAAATCCAAGGAAATTAGCAAAGTGTGGGCTTCAGTTAATTTCGTCTCAGTCTTGGTTCATTAATTATAACAAATGGACCAGGCACAGTAGGTCACACTCAAAAATTAGCTGGACGTGACACCCCTGTAGTTCCACTACTTGGGAAGCTGAGGCAGGAGAATTTCTTGAACCCTGGAAGTGAAGGTTGCAGTGAGCTGAGATTGTACCATTGCATTCTAGCCTGGTCATTGCAGCAAGACTCCATCTTAAAAAAAAAAAAAAAAAAAAGGCCGGGCGCAGTGGCTCAAGCCTGTAATCCCAGCACTTTGGGAGGCCGAGGCGGGTGGATCACGAGGTCAAGAGATCAAGACCATCCTGGTCAGCAAGGTGAAACCTCGTCTCTACTAAAAATACAAAAAGTTAGCTGGGCATGGTGGTGCGTGCCTGTAATCCCAGCTACTCAGGAGGCTGAGACAGGAGAATTGCCTGAACCCAGGAGGCGGAGGTTGCGGTGAGTACGAGATCGTGCCATTGCACTCCAGCCTGGGTAACAAGAGCGAAACTCCGCCTCAAAAAAAAAAAAAAAAAAAAAATTATAACAAATGTAGCATGGTAAGGTAAGATTTTAATAAGGGAAACCAGTGGCTCATACCTGTAACCCCAACACTGGGAGGCCGAGGTGGACAGATCACGAGGTCAGGAATTTGAGACCAGCCTGACAAACGTCGTGAAACCCCATCTCTACTAAAAATACAAAAATGAGCTGGGCATAGTGGCATGTGCCTGTAATCCCAGCTACTAAGGAGGCTGAGGCAGGAAAATCGTTTGAACCCTGGAGGCAGAAGTTGCAGTGAGCCAAGATGGCACCACTGCACTCCAGCCTGGGCAACGAGCAAAACTACGTCTCGAAAAGAAAGAAGAGGGGAAGCCACATGTAGTATGTGGGATCCCTCTCCATGTACTATCTTCTCAATTCTGTAAATTTAAAACTTCTTAAAAGGCCTATTAAACCTGACAAATCTGTGCCCTGTGGAGCATGTTATGTATATTACTAGAGATCCTGAGGAGGCAGTTCTCAGTGCTTCCCAGTCACTTGGTAGTCAGAGCTGTGGGCACACAGGGACAAGTCACTCCTTAAGTTACCATTTCAAACCATATGTAATAGTGTACTTGATCGATACATAAATGTCGTAGGCATTCCACATCAAACAAAGTAACATTTCACAAGAGAAGGGAGAGGAAGGAACGTTAACCAGTCCAAGGAAAAGGAGAATCCGTCTTGCATGGAAAAGTCTGATGTGGGCAGAGCCTTCAGCAGCAGGCGCCGAGGGCTTCCCACGAGCGACAGGAGGACCGTGTCTGTACAGCCGCTGTGACCTGGTGCAGTTCTGCTCTGTGTGGCTGTAGAGTACTCTGGTGAGGACTCATAGTAAGAGTGTGCTTGTTTATGTCCTTATCTGGGTGGGTGCAGTCTCAGCCAATTAGGCAAACATTTGGTCCCTGTTGGTCTGATGCTTTTTTTTTTTTTTTTTTTTTAAAGACAGGGTTTCACCATGTTGGTCAGGCTGGTCTTGAACTCCCGACCTCAGGTGATCCGCCCGCCTTGGGCTCCAAAGTGCTTGGATTACAGGGGTGAGCCACCGCACCTGGCCTATGTTAAATTTTAAAAGGTATCAGGGGCCAGGTGTGGTGGTTCACGCCTGTGATCCCAGCACTTTGGGAGGCTGAGGTGGTGGATGACTTGAGGTCAGGAGTTCAGGACCAGCCTGGACAACATGGTGAAACCCTGTCTCTACCAAAAATACAAAAATTAGCTGGGCATGGTCCTGCAAGCCTGTAGTCCCAGCTACTTGGGAGACAGGCTGGAGAATCGCTTGAACCCAGGAGGCAGAGGTTGCAGTAAGCTGAGATCGCACCACCACTGCTCACCAGCCTGGGCACCAAGAGTGAAACTCCATCTCAGAAAAAAAGTAAGATGGAGTCTTTTTCTCAGATGGGGTCACTTATATCAAGGGTGCTCTATACAGTTACCTAACTAAATTAACCTGGTTTTTGTTGTGTGCACACTCAGAGCTGTTTAAATGTCTCTCCAGACTGTCACCGTTAATGACCATGGACAAGAGCTGGGTTCTTATTATTTTTTTGTAGAGATCAGGGTCTTGCTATGTTGTGCAGGCTGGTCTCGAACTCGTGGGCTTAAGTCATCCTTTTGCCTTGTCTTCCCAAGGCACTGTTACTACAGTCGTGATCTTAAACATGGGGCCAGAGTCTGCTCATGTGCAGCAGCACCCTTGAGGACACCGACTGCCATCTGGAAATGTGGGCACCAGCAGGGCATGTGATCCCAGCCCATAACCTCCTCAGGCCTGGAGGGAGGGTAAGGCCTGGTTTCATGCTGCCTTCATTTCTGGTTAGATGGCCTCCAGAGTAAGGTGAATTGAACTGTATAACAGGGTAACCTAGGCTCTCCAGGGCTAACAGGTGGGAGGTGAGCCCCTCTGAGGATCTCCATGAGCTGCCTCTGTGAGCATGACCTCCTATGAGCTGGCTGGCCTACACCCTGTCACTCACTGGTCCAGCTCCAGGCTCCCCACATGGATGTGGGTTGGGAGACAGGACAGGCACACAAGCATAGATACTGATGGACATGGCCATTTACAAAACAGGGCAATTTTGGCCACTGAGGCAAGTTTCTGGGTCAGCTGCACTGAGGAGGGTGCTAACCTCCACCCCTCGGGTCCACAGGTGTGGCCCCCTGCTGCTGACACCCCCCAGATGTCAGTCTGCTTGCTTAGTGGGATTGACTAACTCGTCAATGTGGAGTTTAACACCCAGCCAAGTGCAGACCACGCTCCTGACTTGTGTCTGCCCTCTGCAAAACTTCCTGCACACCTGGCTCCTTGCCTGGTCCTGCTGAAGCCCAGCCCCTCTGCAGGTCACGACCCCTTCTCTGTCCCACCCGTTTTGCGCCTGGAATTTCCTGAACAACTTAGTAGGCCATCTCCCCACCCTGTCCTCCCAGGTAAGGAACTGCCCTTCCTCCCAGCTCTGAGAGTCCCTAGGAGGGGAGGAGCCGCCATGTCCTGGAGGCAGTGCACAGAGGTGGGGTGCCCTCCCCCAAGACAGATTCTTCTGGGCTGGGTCCTGAGGCTGGTGGTGCATGGGGGTCATGGCTGTCTTCTTCCCCCAGGTCTGAGAGCTCTGCCCCTCTGCCTCAGCTGCTGCCCACTTTTTTGCCTTTCCATGAAGCCCAGCCGGCCACACCTGGAGATGAGTGTTTACAGGTAGCAGCCTAAGGACGCGAAGTGGAAACCTGGCAACCTGGGGCCTCCCTGCGTCCGGCAGCCTGGCAACTGCCATGTGGTGCCCAGCACTGGCTTGGGTGCTGCAGTACAGGGAGGGTGTGGCTCTTCTCTCCCCTGGGGCTGGTTTCCAGGAGGTTAGGCCAGCCCTGCAGGTGACACTGGTGCTTGGGCTCCTGCTGAGCAGTTCTCTCCTTCGAGTAACAGAACCAGGGAGGGAGGTGGGCTGCGGCCTCCCCTGCCCACTACTGTCATCTCCTGTAGCTCCCACCATGCTGGACTCATCAGCAGTAGAGCAAGTGACCCGACTGACGCTGAAGCTCTTAAGACAGGTATGGCAGAGCCCGGGATGCTCCTGTTTTTAACAACTCCAGGCTGCAGCATTGGAGGGACCCCGAGACAGTCCTGCAGGGGCAGAATGCAGGGTCCCAAGTGCTGGGCCCAGGGCTGGCGGTGCAGTGGACCCATTCTCAGACTGGTGGCCCATGATCTGCCTGCCTGTCCTCCTGGGCCACTGAGCACAGGGTCCGGGGGGCCTCGGTGCTGGGGGCTCCTCTGCACCCCCTGCCTGCATTGTTCTCTCCTGCTGCCTGAGGGACTGCTGCCTGCCTTTTGCCAGCCCTGCACTCCGCACCCTGCATCCTGGCCCACTGCCGCTATCCAGCAGCTGGCTGCTCAGCTCGGAGTCCAGGTGGGGGTGATCCAGGCATGCATGAGCTGGGAAGCCTGGAGGCCTCACCAGGTCTCTCCCAGGGTTGCTCTTCAGAAATCTGCCTGAAGGGGCCACTCACAGCATCCATCCTTAGACCTGGAGATGGAGCATTCGCTGGAGGTCAGGCTCACGGAGGAGATCCTCGGAGGGGCTCACCTCCCACCTTTTGGCCCTGGAGGGGCTGGGTCAGTCCTGACGTACAGTTCTGTTCACTCAGAAAGCCTCTTAGTCATTCCTGGAGCACACAGGGCCTTTGCCTGGAGCCAGTGTCCCTGTCACAGTCTCTTTTCCTCACAGAAGCTGGAGCAAGAACGGGAGAACCTGGAAGGGGGGCCTGGGGGCCTCCACCTCGAGCCAGGTGAGCGCGCTGGGCTGCTTGGAACCAGCACAGGCGGGGGCCAGTGTAGCCTCTCCAGGGAGGTAGGGACAGCAGCTGCAGGAATCACCCCCACTCCTGGTATAGCGAGACTGTCCTTAACTCATTTCCTTTACATTCAAGTTGAAGACATCCCCATTCCTTATCACCTTAATCTGCAGACCCCAAAAGGGGGCGCCTTCACCGTTCCCACTTTGCAGATGAGAAAACGGAGGCAGAGAGAGGTTGGCTGACCTGTCCTGGGTCGCACAGCCTGTGCTCAGCCTGGAAGTGGTCACACCTGGGTCAGACCCAGATGCTCTGGTTCCAGAGGCTGAGCTTGCCTGTTGGTTGGGGAGGGGCTGCTGTCCTCACTGCTGCCTGGAGACCTCTGGGGAGGAGCTGAGAAGGCCAAAGGAACATTTCCTGTTCTTTGGAACATGGGGCAGGCAACCTGTGAGCTCTAGGGGGCAGCTGCCAAGGGCAGAGCTCAGAGTCTCAAATACAGAAAGAGAAAGTCCCAAACCAGGTCTGCACAGCCTGTGAGAGGTGACAGAATGGCAACCAGTGCCTGGGGCAGAGGGTTTGGGCAGCCCCAAAGACAGACTGGGGTTTCTAGCAGCCCCGCTCCAGTGTGATGCTGGGAGAGGGGCAGGACCCCAGTGCCAAAGGGAAAGGAGGCCAGAACACTGCCCCTCACCTTCCGGAGCCTTCTCTTGAGTGCAGACCCTTCTCCAAGGAGTATAGACTTTTTTTGTTGTTTTTCTGAGAAGGAGACACACTCTGTCACCCAGGCTGGAGTGCAGTGGTGTGATCTCAGCTCACTGCAACCTCTGCCTCTCAGGTTCAAACAATTTTCCTGCCTCAGCCTCCCGAGTAGCTGGGATTACGGGGGTGCACCACCATGTCCGGCTAACTTTTGTATTTTTAGTAGAGACGGGGTTTTGCCATGTTGGCCAGGCTGGACTCAAACTCCTGATCTAAAGTGATCCACTCACCTCGGCTTCCCAAAGTGCTGAGATTACAGGTGGGAGTTACTGCACCTGGTCAGATGTTTGTTTTTTTTTTCCTGAGACAGGGTTGGTCTCGCTCTGTTGCCCAGGCTGGAGTGTGGTGTGGCATGATCATAACTCACTGCACCCTCAACCTCCTGAGATCAGTCCTCCCAGCTCAACCTTCCAGTGTTGAGATCACAGGCAGGAGCCACCTTGCCCAGACTGAGGGGCAGATTAGAGGGACTTGCAGACACTTGGAGGTCAGACCAGACTCTGGACTGCTTGGGGCCAGAGGGTGGCTCCAGGTGGCCAAGGTCAGGCTGCAGCCAGCCCCATAGAAGCCTTGGCCTCCTGGAGCCCAGGGACTCTGTACGAAAGGTACTCAGAAGGAATCTGGCCACTTGACTTCAGCCTCCCTTCCAGGAATGAGATGACCATAGGCCAGACTCTGACACTGAGTTCCCTGGGTTGCCCCTCCCCTCATGCTGCCCTTGCCCTCCTTACCCAGCATGGGTCCCTCTTTCTCTGGGCCTGAGCCCAGGAGCCTCCCAGGCCGCTCCCATCACAGGAGAGTGGGAGAGGCAGGGCATTCCACACAGGTGCAGTGGTGTCCAGGTGCTTGCAACGACAGATTCTTCGCATTCCTCTGTGAGCAAGCAGGTGCTTCCCTCCAGGAAATGAGGACCGGCCGGATGACTGCCCTGCAGACTGCTCTGAAGAGAAGGAGGGAGCTTCTGCAGAGACTCCAGGTAAGCCCTGCACCTGCTGAGCAAAGCTGGCTGAGCTCACTGCGGCAGAGACAGCTGCTCAGCCTTATGGCACAGGTTGGGGGTGAGGGGAAGACTGACCTTTCTGGACTCTCAGGGCCAGGCCCCAGTAAGGCCACTGTTAGCTTAGAGACCTGCCTGAGTGCAAGTTTCTATCAGGGCTGGAAATGTCGAGTAGGGGCCCAGTTCCAGGAGGACCTGAAATTCTAGGATGCCAGGAGGTTTGCTCCCATGGCACTCACCAAGGATGCCTCAGTGGCAGAGATGCCCAGGAGGTGGGGCCATTTTTCTAGCGGGGAGATCTTTGCAGCCAGTTGGCCTGAAACTAACTTGAAAGAGAGAACGGACCCTGTTGGCTTGGAAAAGGGAACAACTGGAGACAAGCTAACGTGATTTGGTAAATGATAGGAGTGCCACCCTCATGCGCATACCCCTTGAAGGGTCTTCCAGCCACTGCCATCCTGCCCAGAGAGGGGCCTGTACCTGGCCCAGGCTGGGCGGAGCCTGAGGCTGGGGGTGCCTCTGTGGTGTTTGGGCTCCCCTCCCGCCGCATGTAGCGGCTCTGCATTGGCCTTGCAGGAACAGCACCTCCTGGACGAGCTTTCTCGGGCACAGGCCTGGACTGCAGCAAGCAGAGGAGCCCTCGGGTCAGCGCTGCCCCCAGAGCTGACCCCCACAGGCGTCCTACCTGCTGCCTCCCCACCTCCGCTGACCCCAGACCCACCAAGGATCCTCCTGCCTACGGTGAGAGGGCGAGGGCAAGGAGCACATCTGAGAGTGGGAGGTGGGCGCTGAATGGATGGGTGGGTGGATGGGTGGATGGGTGAATGAGTGGGGGGATGGTTGGTTGCATGAATGATGGGTGGATGGATGGGTAGATGGGTGAATGAGATGGTTGGCTGACTGGCTGGATGGGTGGGTGGTTGATGGATGGTAGATACTGCAGACACTTTCTTCAAGGACACATGCAGCTAATCACCTGGCTGTTCCTAGGTCCCCCAGCCTCCTGCCACCATCATTCAGCAGCTACCTCAGCAGCCGCTCATAGCACAGATTCCCCCTCCCCAGGTGTTCCCTACCCAAAGGTCAGGAAGTATTAAGGAAGGTAAGTGTTCCATATTCATATTGTTGTGGTTGATGAAACTATCTACTGAAAGGGAAAATATTTCTGGAAGCAGGACAGTCACTTAGCATCAGCTTTTGGCTGCTCAACATGAAAATAATTTTAACGTTAAGAAATCCTTGGCCGGGGCCGGGCACGGTGGCTCAAGCCTGTAATCCCAGCACTTTGGGAGGCCGAGGCGGGTGGATCACGAGGTCGAGAGATCGAGACCATCCTGGTCAACATGGTGAAACCCCGTCTCTACTAAAAATACAAAAAACTAGCTGGGCGTGGTGGCGCGTGCCTGTAATCCCAGCTACTCAGGAGGCTGAGGCAGGAGAATTGCCTGAGCCCAGGGAGGCGGAGGTTGCGGTGAGCCGAGATCGCGCCATTGCACTCCAGCCTGGGTAACAAGAGCGAAACTCCGTCTCAAAAAAAAACCTAATTCAGTAAGTAGCTAGCTATTTAGAAAAAGTTAAATTTCTTACCCCATTCCTTATCCCAAAACAAATTCCAACTGGATCAACTGTTAGACTGTAAAAAAATGAAGTCTTGGCCGGGCGCGGTGGCTCAAGCCTGTAATCCCAGCACTTTGGGAGGCCGAGGCGGGTGGATCACAAGGTCAAGAGATCGAGACCATTCTGGTCAACATGGTGAAACCCCGTCTCTACTAAAAATACAAAAAAAAAGTAGCTGGGCATGGTGGCATATGCCTGTAATCCAAGCTACTCAGGAGGCTGAGGCAGGAGAATTGCCTGAACGCAGGAGGCGGAGGTTGCGGTGAGCCGAGACCGTGCCATTGCACTCCAGCCTGGGTAACAAGAGCGAAACTCCATCTCAAAAAAAAAAAAAAAAAAAAGTCTTTCTGGGCCTCCCAAAGTACGGAGATTATGGGTCTGAGCCACTGCACCTGCCTTTTTTCTTTTCTTTTGAGACAGAATCTCCCTCTGTTGCCCAGGCTGGAGTACACAGGTGCCATCTTAGCTCATTGCAACCTTCACCACTTGGGTTCAAGCAATTCTCCTGCCTCAGCCTCCCAAGTAGCTGGGAATACAGGTGCCCGCCACCTCGCCTGCCAAATTTTTTTTTTTTTGAGATGAGTTTCACTCTTGTCACTCAGACTAGAGTGCAGTGGTGCGTTCTCGGTTCACTGCAACCTCTGCCCCTGAGTCCAAGCAATCCTTCTCAGCCTCTTGAGTAGCTGGGATTACCAGGCCACCACGCCTGGCTAATTTTTGTATTTTTAGTAGAGACGGGGTTTCACCATGTTGGCCAGGCTGGTCTCAAACTGCTGACATCAGGTGATCTACCCACCTTGACCTCCCAATGTGCTGAGATTACAGGCGGGAGCCACTGCACCTGGCCCATCTCATGATCCTTAATGACATCTGCAAAGACTCTTTTTCCAAATAAGGTCACACTCTGAGATGGGGGGAGACTGTGACATGGGTGTGCCTTTCTGGGTTCCCCATGCAGCCTGGGGGAGGAGACGGGAAGGCACATGAGAGTAGCCTCCTAGGGTGCCGTGGGGCCCATCACACAACTTTCCACATCTACACTCCCTGACCCTGAAGTTCCATGATTTGGAGCATGCCCCAGGGACCTGCACAGTGCACAGACACGTGTTCTCTGGTCTTGTAACGCACTCTGTCACCTTAACAAATATGAGGAATGGAAGCTTTCTTCAGGGCCCCCGGGTCTCCCCTGCAGACATGGTGGAGCTGCTGCTGCTGCAGAATGCACAGGTGCACCAGCTGGTCCTGCAGAACTGGATGCTCAAGGCCCTGCCTCCAGCCCCACAGGTAGGGTCAGCCCTGAGCAGACCCTGAAACCAAGGAAACAGAGGGCCTGGGGGGTTTTCCTCTGGAAATGTCTGCATCTGTGTAGCTCTGAAAGGGCATTCCTGGCTCAGGTCTGCAGTCTGGCTGTGAAGCCCCCAACCCCATGAATCCCTGCCCTGATGAGGAGTGGGTTGCACAATTTGGGTATGGGGAGGGGCCTCCTCTCGGAGGATGCTTAGACTCCTGCCATCCTGCCTATCACAGGGGGCCTGGCCCCAGTTAGGAACAGGGCTGGAGCTGGGGTGGGAGCAGCCTGGGCTGAGTCCTGAGCCGAAGGTGCATCTGTGTCAGGACCCACCATGTGTGGCCCCGGGGGTCCCACGAGCTGCCAGGCGGAAGCTGCCTGCCGTGCACCACCACCACCACCACCACCACCATGCCACGTGGCTGCCAGGGGCTGCCACTGTCCTCCAGCCCACACCCAGCCCGTGGATGCCAGGCCCACCCTGAGCGTGAGTCACAGGAACCCTGGCCGGGCACCTTCCACCCCCAGGCTTCCTCGGGGCTGTGGGCTGTGCCAGGACCATGGAAAGGGGCAGGGTCCTTCCCTGCCCGGTTGCAGGTGGTGGGAGTGGTGGTGGTGGTGGTGCATGGCGGGCAGCTTCGGCCTGGCGGCTTGGCTCATGACATCCCTTGCTCTGGGACCCCTGCGGTGAGGGGCCTGTGAAACTGCCCAGGGCAGCAGCCCCGCCCAGGGACCCCTCCTTTCCTGTAGGGCATCGCCGGCTCACCTGGAGCCTCAGGTCCCCCTCTTCCATCACGGAGGTAAAGTCCAGGCCGTGGACACCGCCAGATGAGGATCCTGAAATAAAGATTTCATCCAGAAAGAGTTTAAGAAAGCTTCAGCTCAGGAGCATAATAGAAAAGATCAATCAATACCTTTAGCCACATGGAAGTCTGAACATCCTGACGGGAAAAATACCACAAAATCAAACTTAATAACTGGGGCCTGTTTGCCGCAGGTGTGGAACAGACTCCACCAAAGAAGTTGGGGTGCTGCGTGGCTCAGGCCTGTAATCCCAGCACTTTGGGAGGCTGAGGCAGGAGGATTACTTGAGCTCAGGAATTTGAGACCAGGCTGGGTCACATAGTGAGACCCTGTCTCTACCAAAAATAAATTTAAAAAACTAACCAGGTATGGTGAAATGCACCTGTGATCTCAGCAGCTCTGGAGGCTGAGGTGGGAGGATTGCTTGAGCTCAGGCGTTAGCAGCTGCAGTGAGCTGTGATGGAAGCATTGCACTGTAGTCTGGACCACAGAGCAAGATCCTGTCTCAAAAAATAAAAAAGTGAAATAAGCCAGCTGTGCATGATGTGCTCCCTTTTGAGTTAAAACAAAAAATAAGGGACAGTACCAATGCTGTAAACGCAGACACTGCTGCATGCTGGTGTGCTCAGCTCCTGTTCCTGGAGATCAAAGGTGGGCGTGTGGGGTTGGGGCAGGGCGGCTGGCTCTCCCGTTTCCTTCTTTGCCCGGGAAGCAAAGGTGGGCGCTGGGAGGGGGCAGAGTGGCTCGCTCTCCCCAGTTTCCTTCTGTGCCCGGGAAGCAAAGGTGGGCACTGGGAGCGGGCAGGGTGGCTTGCTCTCCCTAGTTTCCTTATGGGCCTAGGAAGCAAAGGTGGGCACGGGGTGCGCCAAGGGTGGCTGACTCTCCCGGGTTCAGTTCCTTCTCTGCTGTCAGGGTTTCTTCCATGTGGATAAGCTAACTTGACTATTCCTTTACTTGTTACTTTTCTTTTTTGGTGGAATTATGTTTCCTTGCTGTTTTAATGTTACTTAAATATTTTTAGGTATTATGCATAAATTTTCATTCATCTCCTATTAGGACACATTCCTTCATTCCTGAAGCTCCGCAGGAGGAGGGACCCTGACCCAGTGTTTGCATCCTGGGAAGCTTGCAGGTCCGAGACCAGATGACCAGAGAGTTGCCACTGAGCTGCAGGGGCTTCCACTCTGGCTGACCTGGCCTCAGAACTCCCCAGGTGAACCACGTGGGGTGCACATGGATGGACAGGTGTGAGCCCCAAACGGGCCAGTGCCGCTGCAGGTTGTCTCACTTCTCAGAACCATCTTTTTGCGGTTCTTGAATGTGATTCCATAGACTCTGTGCTCTCGTTAAAAGCTCAAGTCAAAGTTCTGACTCCATTTCCTATTTTCATGGTGATTTTTTCTATCATGGAATTTTGATTTCCTTCTATTAAATATTTCTCAACAGAATTTTTCATACAACAGAGGGAAGAAACCTCGCAGGAAGTGGTGGTCTTTGGGTGGCCTGGTCTTGGTGCCTTCATAGGGATGAAGGGCCCTGGCATTCAGCAGTGTCTGGTTAGGGCACAGCTGGGCTGGCTGAGCCTTGACTGGCCTGCAGGAGGGGTGGGGTGACGCCTGGGGGTGGGGCAGGGGATGATCTCACCCCCATACGCAGTCCCCCTTGGTCTACCTGGGGAGGCTGAGGAGCTCAGAGCAGGCCTGGAAAGTGGGCTTGGGCTGCCTGGCAGGGATTTTGGGGTCTGGGTGCCTGCAAGCTGGTAGTTAGGAGTGGGGTATTCTCATGGCCCCACCTCCTTGCCTATGGTTATTCCAGCTACTCAGGAGGCTGAGAATTGCTTGAACCCGGGAGGGAGAGGCTGCAGTGAGCCAAGATCACACCACTGCACCACTGCACTCCGGCCTAAGCCACAGAGCTACACTCGGTCTCCAAAAAAAAAAAGATGAAGCCAGGCGCGGTGGCTCAAGCCTGTAATCCCAGCACTTTGGGAGGCCGAGGCGGGTGGATCACAAGGTCGAGAGATCGAGACCAACCTGGTCAACATGGTGAAACCCCGTCTCTACTAAAAATACAAAAAATTAGCTGGGCATGGTGGCGCGTGCCTGTAATCCCAGCTACTCAGGAGGCTGAGGCAGGAGAATTGCCTGAACCCAGGAGGCGGAGGTTGCGGTGAGCCGAGATCGCGCCATTGCACTCCAGCCTGGGTGACAAGAGCGAAACTCCGTCTCAAAAAAAAAAAAAAAAAAAAAAAAGATGAAGAGATAGACTCACTGATGGTGGGACACAGGGCAGCCCCAGTGCGCATCAGAGACCCCGACCAAGAGAGAACTGGGACCACCCAGGCTGGGCCTGGGCCCCACAGTCACTGGCTGTGGGCTGCTGGAGGCACCAGTGGCCCAGCGACTACCCAGTAAAGCCAGACCCCCCCACACCCTGAGCGCCCAAGAATTCCTGAGAAGCCCTGAGTGCCCCAGGATGTGAACAGAGGCTCCCAGGGCTCCATTCTAACAGCATGGTCAGGAGAGCAGGGGTTTTGGGAGGTGGAGGCTCAGGGCACATTGTGCACACCTGTACACCTGGTAAGTTGGGTGACAATCATTGAGAGGTGAAAATAACCCAGGGACTAAGGCATCATATATACACAGGTCACAGCCTCCTCGAGGTCAGTGGATCTACAGATTTAATGCGATTTCAACCAAGAGTCCAGGAGGAGCTGAATCTGGAACACACACACAAGGTGAAGGGCCGGGTGACTTTGGGAGCAGAAGAATGAGGAGGGACCTGCTCCAGAATTAGGGCAGGGTGGCTGAGGGCAGGCTGGGCAGGAGTGACCTGTGAACCCCCCTCCTAACTACCAGGTCCCTACAGCAGGAGACTGCCACTGCACAGGCGGCAGGTGATGCTGCCGCTGCTGCCGGGACCATGGGTGGCCCTTCCTCAGGTTCACATCAGAGGGCACTTGCTCACACTTCCTAAGGAAATTCAGAGTTGCTGAGCACAGTGGCTCACTCCTATAATCCCAGCACTATGAGAGGCTGAGACCGGTGGATCACTTGAGGTCAGGAGTTTGAAATAAGCCTGGCCAACATGGTGAAACCCTGTCTCTACTAAAAAATACAAAACTAGGCCGGGCGCAGTGGCTCAAGCCTGTAATCCCAGCACTTTGGGAGGCCGAGGCAGGTGGATCACGAGGTCAAGAGATCGAGACCATCCTGGTCAACATTGTGAAACCCCGTCTCTACTAAAGGTGCAAAAAATTAGCTGGGCATGGTGGCGCGTGCCTGTAATCCCAGCTACTCAGGAGGCTGAGGCAGGAGAATTGCCTGAACCCAGGAGGCGGAGGTTGCAGTGAGCCGAGATCGCGCCATTGCACTCCAGCCTGGGTAACGAGCGAAACTCCGTCTCAAAAAAAAAAAAAAAAAAAAAAAAACTTAGCAGGGTGTGGCAGCGCACACCTGTACTCCCAGCTACTTGGGAGGCCGAGGCAGGAGAATCAGTCTAAAAAAAAGAAATACAGGATTGCACTGGGTGTGGTGGCTCATGCCTGTAATCCCAGCACTTTGGGAGCCTGAGGTGGGCAGATTACTTGAGGTCAGCAGTTCAAGCCCAGCTTGGTAAACAAAGTGAAGCCCTGTCTCTACAAAAACACAAAAATTAGCAGGGTGTGGTGGTGTACACCTGTAGTCCCAGCTGCTCGGGAGGCTGAGGCAGGAGAATGGCTTGAACCTGGGAGGCAGAGGTTACAGTGAGCTAAGATCCTACCACTGCACTCCAGCCTGGGTGACAGAAGGAGATTCTATCTCAAAAAACAAAAACAAACAAAAAAAACAGGGTTGTGTTCAATAATACATATAAATACCTCTAACCAATAATACCTCCAAATAAAAAAAAAATAAATAATAAGACAGAAAACAGAAGCAGTCCCTTACAGCAGAGGGGATAAAGATGAAGAGGTAGGCTGAGCACGGTGGCTCACACCTGGAATCCCAGCACTTTGGGAGGCTGAGGCAGGTGGATCATGAGGTCAGGAGTTTGAGACCATCCTAGTCAACATAGTGAAACCCGTCTCTACTAAAAATAAAAAAGTTAAAAAAAAAAAAAATTGGTGTGCTGGCTCACACCTGTTACCCCAGCTACTCAGGAGGCTGAGGCAGGAGAATCGCTTGAACTCGGGAGGCAGAGGCTGCAGTGAGCCAAGATCACACCACTGCACTCTGGCCTAAGCCACAGAGCTACACTGGGTCTCAAAAAAAAAAAAAAAAAAAAAAAAAAAGATGAAAAGATGAAGAGACAGACTCACTGATGGTGGGGACACAGAGCAGCCCCAGTGTGCATCAGAGACCCCGACCAAAGAGAACTGGGACCACCCAGGCTGGGCCTGGGCCCCACGGTCACTGGCTGTGGGCTGCTGGAGGCACCAGCGGCCCAGCAACTACTCAGTAAAGCCAGAACCCCCATGCCCTGAGCGCCCCAGGATGTGAACAGAGGCTCCCAGGGCTCCATTCTAACAGCAAACTGTAGGAACCCCCAAAACCCCACCCATAGCTGGAAGCTCTCCAGGCCCCTCAGTCTCTGAAGGGCTCTTTAAAGTGATTCTCGACTGTGTGTTCTTGTGAGAAGCTTGAGTTTCCTATTTTCAGGAGTACTTTTTTGACATTATGGTTCCACAGTAAACAGAACCTCTCCGTCGAAGGGTGCAGTGGGTGCAGTGACTTCAGGAACAGAGGGGCCTGGCCTGTGTCTTTGAGGGGTCAAGTCCAGTGGGGAGGCATTTTCATGTCCCTAAATCATTTCATGGGACAAACGTGATCGTAATTGCAGTAGCCCCAGTTTTAGGGCTCCAGGCAGGGGCGCACGGGAAGGGCAGGGGGCGAGCGCTGCACGGTACTCCCAGGCGGGGTCCACGCCATTTCCCGAACTCTGGGCGCCCTCCCGGTACCACAGCTCGGAACTGTTTTACTGACAATAATGAAAAATACCGGCTGTGCTGTGAAATAAAGAGAGGAGGTTCCCCCGGTACTTTCATTCGTGGTTTATTTGCCAGCTGCCAGGCCGGGGTGCAGCGGGAACCCCGCTCCTGCTCTCGGTAGGAACTGCCCGCAGCTCCCTCAGAAGAGGCCCCTGGTCAAGGGCTGCAGCCGGGTCCCAGTGCGTCGGCCCAGCTCGTCCAGCACCGCCTTCTCCTTCTGGAACATCTGCAGAGAAGAAGCGCGCTGGGCCCTCCCCAGGGAAAGGGTCCCGCGCCCCACCCACAGGGTTTAGGGGAGCCCAGAGGCGGGACTGGACTCTGAGCACCTTCTCCGGGGGCCAGGGAGTGCCCGACCTGCCAAGGGGCCGCAGGAGGGGAGGGGGTGCAGGGAGAAGGGAAGGGGTGGAAGGGGAAGGAGGAGGGAGAAGAGGGGTGGGGGAAGGGAGGGGGTGGAGGGAGCAGGGAAGGGGACGTGCGAGGGGGAGAGGAAAGGAGGGGAGGAGGACAGGGGGCGATGGAGGGGAGGGGGTGCGGGAAGGGGGGAGGAAGAGGGTGGGGCAGGGCTGGGGGAGGGGGGGCGGGGCATGAGGGGAGGAGGAGTGGGAGTGAGAGGGTTTAGGAAGGGCAGAGGGGCAGGCAGCGGGGAGGAAGGCATTGGGAAGGGAGGGGGAAGGGGAGGGAGGGGAGGAGGGCAGTTGGGCTCTAGGTAGGAAGCAGGAGGGCTTGGGGGGGGCGGTCACAGGACAATAGGGCAGCTCTGCAGGCCCAGAGGATGGGAATGGACTTGCTGGGCCCAGGGATGGGTGTAGGGTGGGTGGGGGAAGGGGGCCAGGTGGACCCAGCAAGCAGTAGCCAGGAGAGGCCTAAGAAAGTCTTCAACCCAGCACTTTGGGAGGCCGAGACGGGTGGATCATGAGGTCGAGAGATCGAGACCATCCTGGTCAACATGGTGAAACCTTGTCTCTACTAAAAATACAAAAAATGAGCTGGGCATGGTGGCACGTGCCTGTAATCCCAGCTACTCAGGAGGCTGAGGCAGGAGAATTGCCTGAACCCAGGAGGCGGAGGTTGCGGTGAGCCGAGATCGCGCCATTGCACTCCAGCCTGGGTAACAAGAGTGAAACTCCGTCTCAAAAAAAAAAAAAATAAAAAATAAAGTCTTCAAGAACTTTTCTTTTTTTGAGGCAAGGCCTTATGGTCTTCCTTTGTCACCCAGGCTGGAGTGCAGTGGTGCAACCTCTGCTTCCTGGGTTCAAGGGATTCTCCTGCTTCAGCCTCCAGAGTAGCTGAGATCACATGCTCGCCCTACCAGGCCCAGCTCATTTTTGTATTTTCAGTACAGAGGAGGTTTCACCATGTTGGCCAAGCTGATCCCAAACTCCTGACCTCAAGTGATCTGCCCACCTCAGCCTCCCAGTGTTGGGATTACAGGTGTGGGCCACTGTGCCCGCCTGACTTTTTCTTTTTGAAATGGACTCTCCTTTGTTGCCCAGGCTGGAGTGCAATGGTGTGATCTCTGCTCACTGCAACCTCTGCCTCCCAGGTTCAGGGGATTCTCCTGCCTGAGCCTCCAGAGCAGCTGGGATTACAGGCACACACCACCAAACCCAGCTAATTTTTGTATTTTTAGTAGAGATGGGGTTTCACCAATTGGCCAGGCTGGTCTCGAACTTCTGACCTTGTGGTCCGCCTGCCTCGGCCTCCCATAGTGCTGGAATTACAGGTGTTAACCACCATACCTGGTCAATTTTTTTCTTTTTTTTTTTTTTTTTTTTTTTGAGTCGGAGTTTCGCTCTTGTTACCCAGGCTGGAGTGCAATGGCGCGATCTCGGCTCACCGCAACCTCCGCCTCCTGGGTTCAGGCAATTCTCCTGCCTCAGCCTCCTGAGTAGCTGGGATTACAGGCACGCACCACCATGCCCAGCTAATTTTTTGTATTTTTAGTAGAGACGGGGTTTCACCATGTTGACCAGGATGGTCTCGATCTCTTGACCTCGTGATCCACCCGCCTCGGCCTCCCAAAGTGCTGGGATTACAGGCTTAAGCCACCGCGCCCGGCCAATTTTTTTCTTTTTAATGAGAAAGGTTTTTCATGACTTTCAGAGAAACAGACAATTTGCTCTCTATCACAGGATCGCACTTGCATTAAACACAATGTGGACCTGAACCCCTGTGGGCCTGTCTCTGTAGACAGACTGCATGGCTCTGGAGGGAAGCAACACCCAATTCACTTCACTGGGAGCTCCCGCTGCCCGCCCTGGGTCTGGCCCTGTCTCTGGCTGATGGGGCCCTTTTGACGGAGTGCCACTTGATAGCGTCAGTAAGCTGTGGTTCTCGGCCTCTGGGCTCAGACCCCATGGTGAACACATTCAGCTAAAGGTATTTGGGGAGCCCAATGTTGAAAGCAAACATCCATAAGCCATTTTTACAAAGGGCAGGTCTCAGGCCCTGTTCGTGCGGGTGGGGGTTGGGGCAGTCAGAATGGAGGGTGGGGACTGGCAGGGGCCTCCTTCCCCTTCAGTAGCCGGAGGATGGGCTCCTACCTGCTGCCACTCTGCCTCTGTGCTATGTGTGAAGCCCAACAAGTGACACAGTCCATGGATGGCAGTCACCTGTCAGAGTGATTCAGAAACCAGCTGATTAATTCAACCATTGTGGAAGACAGTGTGGCGATTCCTCAAGGACCTAGAAATAGAAATTCCATTTGACCCAGCAATCCCATTACTGGGTATATATCCAAAGGATTATAAATTGTTCTTTTATAAAGACACATGCACACGAATGTTCACTGCAGCACTGTTTATAATAGCAAAGACCTGGAACCAACCCAAATGCCCAGAGATGATAGACTGGATAGGGAAACTGTGGTACATATACACCATGGAATATTATGCAGCCATCAAAAGTGATGAGTTCACGTCCTTTGTAGGGACATGGATGAACCTGGAAACCATCATTCTCAGCAAACTGACACAAGAACAGAAAATCAAACACCGCATATTCTCACTCATAGGCTGGTGTTGAACAATGAGAACACATGGGCACAGGGAGGGGAGCACCACACACTGGGGTCTGTTGGGGGGAAATAGGGGAGGGACAGTGGGGGGTGGGGAGTTGAGGAGAGATAGCATGGGGAGAAATGCCAGATATAGGTGATGGGGAGGAAGGCAGCAAATCACACTGCCACTGTGTGTACCTATGCAACAATCTTGCATGTTCTTCACGTGTACCCCAAAACGTAAATGCAATTAAAAAGAAAAAAGAAAACAACCAAAAAAATTAATAAAAAGTGGGAAAAAAAAAAAAAAAACGGCTAGAGAATGACCCGACAGGAAGCTGCCCCTTCGAGACACCCCAGGCCACAGGCTGCTCTTGGTATGTGGCAGCAGGACTCCAGGGTTGCTGAGAGACCCCTGAGCAGGAGTTAGTTACTCAGCCTCAGTTCCCTCCCATCTAAAATGGAAAGCAAGGCCTTCCAGACTCTCTTTTTCCCGACCTGCAACTGTCTTGATTGAGTAATACCTTTCAGATCCTGTAGTCAATGTTGACTGCAGTCTGGGCCAGCACTGTGCTGGGGAAGGGCCCGAGGATGGAAATTTCCAGCCTCGGGGGCAATGGGCAAGGGGGGTGGATTACAAAGAAGTGAGGAGGGGTAGGTGCCACGGAGTGGGGGCTGGGGGCCGTGGGGCAACAGTCAGGGCCGGCCTGCCTGCCCTAGGAGGGGTGAGGCAAGGGCATGGCCACACCCCAGGCCCAACCCCTGAGGAGGGGCAGTGCCCCAGTCAGGGGGCGGGGCCTCCAGTGGCCCCAGATTTTACTGACCACTGAGAGTGGAGCTTCGGTGGGTGCACAGGCAGCACAGGAGTGGGGGAGAGGCATGAGGGCAGAGCTGGGGGGAGGTGCAGCTGCTGGTGAGGCATGAAGACCCACAAGTAGCTCCGTCCCCAGGGAGAACGGGCTGGATGAAAGCCCACAGGGGAGGGGCACCAGGATGGAGCCCAGAGCTGGGGGAGGTGGAAGGGGAGGAGGAAGAAGAGGGAGGGCCTGTGGACCCTAAGCAGGCATGGCACCAAGGGGGTTTATGGAGCCCTGTGGGCCACAGGGATAGCGCTCCCCTGGGGCTTGGGTGGGTCTGTGAGGTGGATATCCCTGGGGCTGGTGTGAGGTGCCTGTAGACAAGGCAGGGTAGATGGAGGCTGCAGCTGAGAGCCAGCCTTGAGCAGGGCTGGTCTGGCCTGTGGCCATGAGGATGGGGTCCTGGGAGGGTGGGCTGGCCTTCACTCATGGGAACAGGGAGCCCCATGGAGAGGGCTCTGAGCCTGAGGAAGAAGGCCGGGGCAGACCAGAGAACAGACTCTTAGGAGGTTTGAGGAAGGTGGAAGCAGATGTCCACATCCCCTAAGCACAGTTGCTGGCCACAGAGATTCCACGGCTGAACTTCGGGCTGGGCCACTTCCTGTCACTCTTGGAAACTTCCTCTTCCCTGGCAGGGTATGCATGGCCGGCAAGTCCCACCCTGGTCCGGAGGGAGCCGTCCCACCCTTTCACACTGAGTCTGGCTGGAAAGCTCTGCTTCAAACCACGCAGAGGCACTTGCATCCCCAAGGACAATTCAGGGCATGGCTGTTCAGCCAAAGGAGGACAAGTATGATTCATTCATATATGGCTTTCAGAGTACTTTTTTTTTTTTTTTTTTTTTTTGCATTAGGCTGCTGAAACCACCTTTGCAAAGGTGATGACAGTGAGAGAAGTCTAGCATGGCTGACTCCATCTCGCTTCCAGCTTCACAGGCTGGCTGTCCCCACTCAGTCCTGGGCGTAGGCCAAGCTAACCATGGGAGGACTTTAGTTTACAGTTTAATTTTTTTTTTTTTTTTTTTTTTTTGTATTTTTAGTAGAGACGAGGTTTCACCATGTTGACCAGGATGGTCTCGATCTCTTGACCTCGTGATCCACCCGCCTCGGCCTCCCAAAGTGCTGGGATTACAGGCTTGAGCCACCGCGCCCGGCCTACAGTTTAATTTTAAATCAAGAATATAATTATCCCTCCCTAAAACTAATCCTCTCCTTGCTCAGGGAGCAAAACCACCTTTGTAAAGCTAAGGAAAGATTAGGACAATGGGAGGCGCCTGAATGCCTCAGCCAGCAGGCCTTGCTTCCCCAGCTTGCCTTGCTCTAACCCTTTCTGCTTCGGAGTCTTGCAGCCAGAGGTCGTGAGATCTGTGACTTCCCCAATTGCTCCCCAGTAAGATAACGTCATAGTTGTAGAACCTAAGACTGGTCTTTTGAGATGGCTTTCAGACTTTAGAGTTCTGGCAACCTACAGACTCCACCTAGACCTGAGACTCATGACTAAGCTGATCCTGTGGCTCCACCCAGAGGTGGACTCAGCAGACAAAAAATCACTTACACCCCTGTGGTCCATCCCCAGCTAATCAGCAGCACTCACTCCTTAGCCCCTGCCTGCCAAATTACCCATGAAAACCATAGCCTCTGAGTTCTCTGGGAGATTGATTTGAATAGTAACTCCAGTCTTTGCACTTGGCTAGCTCTGTGTTAAACTCTTTCTCTACTGCAATACCGCAGTCTCAGTGAATTGGTTTTGTCTGTTCAGTAGGCAGGCAGAACCTGTGGGGGGTTACACTCAGGAGAAACGGATGTGGAAGGTGGTGGTGGCTCCAGCCCTCTGTACTTCTGGCAGCTCCGAAAGAAGCTGACCCAGCAGGTCTAGGTTAGTGCAACACAGCCTGTTCTACTCCAGAGGTAACGGCTAAGAAGCCTTCTCCAGGAGCGTCCATGTTTTCACAGTGTGTCCTCTCCCTCCTTCAACCATGGCAAGAGGCATGTAGTCGCTACCCAGCTGGGTGCTCCTCACCCTGCTTACAGGTTCTTCCCCCAGTAGCCCTTATGGTGCCATGGACACACGTGGATGTGGGGTGGTGATCTTGACCCCTTTGCATGGCCCGTGTTCTATAAGCCAGGTTATGTGCTTTCAGTATCCCCACTTACCATCAGGATGTCATTGTAATCTTCATTTTCTTTGCACTGCTGGAAGATATACTCCACTCCTAGGAAAATGTCCCCCAAATTGTAGTCATCTGGAAAATCAGGCTGGGGAAATTCACCTGCTTTCAGATTCTAAGAATAAGGAAATACAAACTTAGAGAACAGGAATTGTAACCCAACCACAGGTTGACATTTAATCCTGGATACTCCCAACACAAATATGCACTTGCTCTCTGACGAGATCACTCTTAGGCTGCACATCCAAGGCCAGGGTAGCAGCTGGGCCTGTGTTAGGGTGAGCTGCCCAGCCAGCTGTGCACAAGTGCCCTAAACTGTTCCACTGTGAAAGCTGTCTGAATAAAAATGGAACCATTAGGGTTAAACAATTAAGCAAACCACTAAACCCTGACAAACAGAGCTGGGGAAAGCTATGAAGAGAGGATTCTCATACTTTTAAGCCTGATAACAAAAACTGTCACCAAAGACTGCAAAAACTGCAGCCCTGCACAAAGCCTATTACAACACACACAAAACCGCAAGGATATCTGCCCAGCAAGTGCCCCTTCCACCTCAGACTGGCATTAACCTTGGTACTGATCTTTGTAACCAAGGATAATTATCTCAAAACAATTATGCGATCCTCCTCATTTTTCCCTTAAAAACCTTTGCCATTTGGGCCGGGTATGGTGGCTCATGCCTGTAATCCAAGCACTTTGGAGGCCAAGGCAGGTGGATCACCTGAGGTTGGGAGTTCAAGACCAGCCTGACCAACACGGTGAAAACCCGTCTTAAAAAAGAAAAAAAAAAAACCTTTGCCAGGTCAGGCGCAGTGGCTCACGCCTATAATCCCAGCACTTCGGGAGGCCAAGGCAGGTAGATGACCTGAGGTCAGGAGTTCTAGACCAGCTTGGCCAACATGGTGAAACGACGTCTTTACTAAAAATACAAAAAATTTAGTCAGGTGTGGTGGCTCACGCCTGTAATCCCAGCTACTCAGGAAGCTAAGGCAGAAAAATTGCTTGAAACTAAGAGGTGGAGGTTGTAGAGAGCTGAGACTGCATCATCGCACTCCAGCCTGGGTGACAGCGAGACTCTGTCTTTGCCTTCCTCTACCTCCCTGAATATGCACATAATATACTGTGGCATGTGGCTCTATCATAAAGAAACATCCTTTTCTCTTTTTTGAGACAGAGTCTTGTTCTGTCACCAGACTGGAGGGCAGTGGTGCGATCTCAGCTCACTGCAACCTCCGACTTCTGGGTTCAAGCGATACTTCTGCCTCAGCCTCCCAAGTGGCTGGGATTATAGGCACGTGCCACCATGCCCAGCTAATTTTTGTATCTTTAGTAAGGATGGGTTTTCACCATGTTGGCCAGGATGGTCTCAATCTCTTGACTCCCCGAGTGTTGGGATTACAGGCGTAAGCCACTGCACCCAGCCACATCCTTTTCTTTTTTCTTTTTTTAAAGACGGGGTTTCACCATGTTGGTCAAGCTGGTCTTGAACTCCCAACCTCAGGTGATCTGCCCGCCTTGGCCTCCAAAGTGCTTGGATTACAGGCGTGAGCCACCATGCCTGGCCCATCCTTTTCTTTTAAAGCCTGTTTGTTGTTTAGGTTGATATCACCTGGTCAAACCACATACTTTTCATCTCTTTCATTCCTCCCAATGCAGAATCACACAGACCCACAACTTCTACAGAGTTAAATCATCACATGGACACAACTGTATATTCCTGTTCTTTCTGCTTGACATTTTGTCCTCAGCAGTCTTTCACATAAAGACTGTAACAAAGACCAGTCCACTAATTTAAGGACCATCCACACTAAGCCAGTCACCTATGGCTGGATATTTAGGATGCTCCTTTTATTTTCCTATTACAGAAAACAGTAACTTTTCCTTTTCTGAGATAGGGTCTCACTCTGCGGCCCAGGCTGGAGGGCAGAGGCATGATCTTGGCTCACTGGAGCCTCAATTTCCCGGGCTCAGATGATCCTCTCACCTCAGCCTCCTGAGTAGCTGGGACTACAGGATTGCACACCACCATGCCCAGCTAATTGTGTTTTTATTTTTTGTAGAAACAAGGTTTGACTATGTTGTCCAGACTGGTCTTGAACTCCTGGGCTCAATCCATCCTACCACCTTAGCTTCCCAAAGTTCTGGGGTTATAGGCCCAGCAAATAAATTAACATTTTAATACATTTTTACGGCTGGGCATGGTGGCTCAAGCCTGTAATCCCCACACTTTGGGAGGCAGAGGCGGGTGGATCACAAGGTCGAGAGATCGAGACCATCCTGGTCAACATGGTGAAACCCATCTCTACTAAAAATACAAAAAATTAGCTGGGCGTGGTGGCGCATGCTTGTAATCCCAGCTACTCAGGAGGCTGTGGCAAGAGAATTGCCTGAACCCAGGAGGCGGAGGTTGCGGTGAGCCGAGATCGTGCCATTGCACTCCAGCCTGGGTAACAAGAGTGAAACTCCGTCTCAAAAAAAAAAAAAAAAAAAACAAACATTTTTACATGATTTAGCATTTGGTTTTATTCTGTCTTTTGGCTTACTGTCTTGGGTGTGTCACTACTGACACACCTAAGTCCCAACTTCTTTGCCTGCCACCATGACGAGCTAACTTTTTGTATTTTTAGTAGAGACACGGTTTCACCATGTTGGCCAGGCTGATCTTCAACTCCTGGACTAAAGGATGCATATGTTTTTTTTTTTTTTGAGACAGAGTTTCGCTCTCGTTACCCAGGCTGGAGTGCAATGGCACGATCTCGGCTCACCGCAACCTCCGCCTCCTGGGTTCAGGCAATTCTCCTGCCTCAGCCTCCTGAGTAGCTGGGATCACAGGCACGCGCCACCATGCCCAGCTAGTTTTTTGTATTTTTAGTAGAGACGGGGTTTCACCTATGTTGACCAAGATGGTCTCGATCTCTCGACCTCGTGATCCACCCGCCTCGGCCTCCCAAAGTGCTGGGATTACAGGCTTGAGCCACCGCGCCCGGCCTAGGCTGCGTATGTTTTAAATGCTCTTGGCGTAGATTTGCCAAATGGCTTTCCCAAAGGGTTGCTCCAATTTGTGCTGCTACAATGTGGGAAGCCTTGAATGAGTCATGTACAGCATGTAGAGAATAACCTGACGTCTATCACATTGAGTTTGTTGGAAATATTTACTCCAGTCTGTTCTTTATTTTCAGTGTTAATTTTTCCAATTTGCACATATTCATTAACGGACCCCACTTAAAATTGCAAAAATACTGCAGAAACGCTTTGCTTCTTTCTTTTGATTCACTGAGAGCATTAGGAGGGGAAGGGGGTGGACAGTAGTCACCTTTCTTTTTCTTTTTTTTTTTTTTTCTGAGACAGAGTTTCACTCTTGTTGCCCAGGCTGTAGTGCAATGGTGTCATCTCGGATCACTGCAACCTCCGTCTCTGGGGTTTAATCGATTCTCTTGCCTCAGGCTCCCAAGTAGCTGGGATTACAGGTGCCTGCCACCACAGCCAGCTAATTTTTTGTATTTTTAGTAGAGACAGGGTTTCACCATGTTGGCCAGGCTGATCTCAAACTCCTGATCTCAGGTGATCCACCCACCTTGGCCTCCCAAAGTGCTGGGATTACAGGTGTGAGCCACTGCGCCTGGCAGTCACTTTTCTTTTTTTTTTTCTTTTTTTTTTTTTTTTGAGACGGCGTTTCGCTCTTGTTACCCAGGCTGGAGTGCAATGGCGCGATCTCGGCTCACCGCAACCTCCGCCTCCTGGGTTCAGGCAATTCTCCTGCCTCAGCCTCCTGAGTAGCTGGGATTACAGGCACGCACCACCATGCCCAGCTAACTTTTCGTATTTTTAGTAGAGACGGGGTTTCACCTTGTTGACCAGGATGGTCTCGATCTCTCGACCTTGTGATCCACCCACCTTGGCCTCCCAAAGTGCTGGGATTACAGGCTGTGAGCCACCTGCGCCCTGGCAGTCACTTTTCTTTTTCCTGCTGGTTTACCAGGGTAATTGTGGCCTTTGGGTGACAGGCATGGATCAACAGAGGCTGAACATACTGTTCTCTACTTTCGTGTCTATTTGAAAATTTCCAAAATTAAAATTAAAAATCATGTCTGTAATATATATACTTATATGTGCCACCAAGCCTAGCCTGTAATATAATTAATGCAGGAAATGTAGGCTGGGCGCTATGGCTCACACCTGTAATTCCAACACTTTGGGAAGGCCAGATCAGGAATTCAAGAGTAGCTTGGCCAGCATGGTGAAACCCCTCTCTACTAAACACACAAAACAACAACGACAACAAAATATTAGCCGGGTGTGGTGGCTCGAGCCTGTAGTCCCAGCTACTAGGGAGGCTGAGGCACCAGAATTGCCTGAACCCAGGCAGGGGAGGTTGCAGTGAGCCGAGATGGCACCGCTGCACCCCAGCCTGGGTGACAGAACAAGGCTCCCCCTCATTTAAAAAAAAAATACAGGAAATGTACTCCGGGAAGGTAGGCTAGAGAACACTTTTTTTTTTTTTTTTTTTTTTTTTTACCTCATGAAATGGAAAAGAAAGCACATCGGTTGGGACATTTCTATCTCTGTAGATTCTATTAATGTGCTGAATATTCTTGTTGTCAACACAGATGATCCCCAGGTCAAACTCCTGCACTCCCAAAATCCTCCGTACAGTCTCGATCTTACTGCGAAGCGGCGCTCTCCTGATGGGGATGACTCGCTGCAGATTCCTAATCACCAAGCTCATTTCGGGAAGAATAACCGGCCCTTAAAAAACGTTTCCAGCGGAACCTGGGGTGAAGCGTGAGAGACCAGTCAGTGCAGGAAAGCGGCGTCCGTTCTGTGCAGAACTCACGCTCACGCCATCAGATCACTTTACTTGGTGGAAGGGACTGAAAATCTTACGGGAATTTACACTGAGCACAGAATACAAAAGCGGGGGGCCCCGGAAGGAAGACGCGGGACCAGGCCCGAAGGACGCGCGGTGGGGGGAGCCGCGCCCCGAGACAGGGGCGGGTGCGCGGTGCGCGCGAACGCGGCGAGGCGGGGAGGGAAGGGGACGGAATCGGGGAGGGACGGGACGGGAGGCAGGCGGGTCCTCCGGGGTCCGGGGCGCCCGCGGACCCACGCGGATGGGAGACGAGGCAGCCGCCCGCACGTACCGGGCTCAAGACCTGGCTGAGGGCGCGAGACAAGGCGGACCCCCCACCGGAAGCGCCGCCGCCCAGCAGGGTGCAGAGAGCGGAACCCGATCGCGGCGGAACCCGATCGCGGCGGAACCCGATCGCGGCGGAACCCGATCGCGGCGGAACCCGATCGCGGCGGAACCCGATCGCGGCGGAACCCGATCGCGGCGGAACCCGATCGCGGCGGAACGCCGCAGTGCTGCGCGAGGCGGAAGTCGGTCCGCCGCGCTTTCGGTTCCGCCGCGTTTTCCGGCCGCGGTGCGCAGTGGCTGGCGCCTCTCGTCCTTCCGGGGATCCAGCGGCGAGACGGTGAGCGTGGGGGTTGGGCCGGCGCCGGAGACGCCGCCTCCTTTCCCGTGGTCGCTGAGGGAGCGCGGCGGCGTCGGCGGCCCCCGGCTGGACTGCGGCCTCCGCCTTTTCGGGCTGTGCTTCCCGGGCACGCCGTCCCCGCCGGGAGGCCGCGGCTCCGCGGCAGCGCCCGCACCTTCCAGCCGGCTCGGGGGGGTCGCCGGGGCGCGGAGAAGGAATGCCTGAGGAAGGGCTTAGCGCTCCGGCGGCCCCGAGGGAAGCCGGGTGGGAGGAGACCCCGAAACGCTCGCGTTCTGACCGCGATACATTCCAGTTTTCGGGCTGGAGGCAGTGGAGGCAGTCGGGAGACATTCATCGCTAAGTCGTAAGGAGGAACGGCGTTCATTTTCTTATTGCCAGTGAAACGCAGGGATTCGGCTTTTTTTTTTTTTTTCTTTAGTCTTGAAGGATCACGCTTTAAACCTTTGTAACAAAGTCATTATTTGTACCGCTCTCTACGCCATCCTCCAACAAAAGAACCCTGTGGCTCTCAGAAAATAATAGTCCTTTGTCTGCCTTTGAAATAGTTATCCTTATATGACTGTGTTCAAAAATTCCTTTCTTAATGTTGTAGCAGAATGTAGCTGTGATGATCTGAATTTCTGTGTTTCAGCTTGTCATGAAGACGAAGGGGAGGCTGTTTCAGAAAGCCAATTAATTTTCTACTCGTAATACTTACTACCTTCTAATAATTGGATCAGAAGATGAACCCAACTAATCCTTTCAGTGGGCAGCAGCCTAGTGCTTTTTCAGCATCTTCTAGTAGTTCCATAACAACATTCCCATCCAAGGCACCGTTTCGATTTGGTCAACCTCTTTTTGGACAAAACAGTACCTTATGTGGGAAGAGTTCAGGATTTTCACAGGTATCCAGCTTTCCAGCGTCTCCTGGAGTAAGCCATTCCTCTTCAGTGCAAACATTAGGGTTCACCCAAACCTCAACTGTTGGACTCTTTTCTGGACTTGACCACACGTCCACCTTTGTAGCTACCTCTGGGCCTTCAAGTTCATCTGTGCTGGGAAACTCAGGATTTAGTTTTAAATCACCCACCAGTGTTGGGGCTTTCCCAAGCACTTCTACTTTTGGACAAGAAGCTGGAGAAATAGTGAGTTCTGGTTTTGGGAAAACAGAATTCGGCTTTAAACCTGTGGAAAACGCAATGTTTAAACCAATATTGGGGGCTGATGCTGAGCCAGAGAAAACCCAGAGCCAAATTGCTTCTGGGTTTTTCACATTTTCCCACCCAATTACTAGTGCATCTGGAGGCCTGACCCCTTTCTCTTTTCCTCAAGTAACAAGTAGTTCAGCTACCAATTCAGATTTTACCTTTTCAAAACCAGTTAGTAGTAATAATTCATTATCTGCTTTTACCCCTGCTTTGTCAAACCAAAATGCAGAGGAAGAGAAGAGAGGACCTAAGTCAGTATTTGGAAGTTCTGATAATAGCTTCAGTAGCTTCCCTGTGTCGTCAGCTTCAGTTTTGGGTGAACCCTTCCAGGTCAGCAAAGCAGGTGTCAGGCAGGGGTGTGAAGAAGCTGTTTCCCAGGTGGAGCCACCTCCCAGCCTAATGAAAGGCCTGAAAAGGAAGGAGGACCAGGATCGCTCCCCAAGGAGACATGGCCATGAGACAGCAGAAGATTCCGATCCTCTGCCCAGGGGGGATCATCCTCCAGATAAACGACCCGTCCGCCTGAATAGACCCCGGGGAGGTACTTTGTTTGGTCGGACGATACAGGATGTTTTCAAAAGCAATAAAGAAGTAGGTCGCCTGGGCAACAAGGAGTCCAAAAAGGAAATTGGCTTTGTTGAGTCTGGAGAAAGTGACCACATGGCTACCCCAGGAGGGAGTCAGTCTCTCCTGGCACCTTCCCGGATTCCAGGTTTGAATAAAGAGGAAGAAACTGAAAGTAGAGAGAAAAAAGAAGGTGAGTTCTGAAAATGTGGAACATAATGTAAATCCTGCTGGCAGTTTCCCAATAAGTTTCTCTGGGTGTTAGCTTGATTTTTCAGATAAATCTCCTATAAACATTAGGGATTCTAGGCTGGGCGCGGTGGCTCACGCTTATAATCTCAGCACCTTGGGAGGCTGAGGTGGGTGGATCACAAGGTCAAGAGTTTGAGACCAGCCTGGCCAACATGGTGAAACCCCACCTCTACTAAAAATACCAAAATTAGCCGGGTGCGGTGGCGGGCACCTGTAATCCCAGCTACTCTGGAGGCTGAGGTAGGGAGAATGACTTGAACCCAGGAGGCAAAGGTTGCAGTGAGCCAATATCGCACCACTGCGCTCCAGCCTGGGCAACAGGGCGAGACTTTGTCTCAAAACAACAGCAGCAACAACAAAAGAAAAACACATTAGGGATTCTACATGTCATATGGAGCAGGTCTTATACCTGTGAACATTTCCTTTGTTTTTACACAGTTGGTGCCGCCTGTTGTTAGCGTTACATCTGATGGTTTAAGTGTCTATTCTCCGAACCCCTAGATTCTTTAAGAGGAACTCCCGTGCGTCAGAGTAAAAGAAGCGAGAGCACAGATAGTCTTGGGGGCTTGTCTCCCTCTGAAGTCACAGCGATCCAGTGCAAGAACATCCCTGATTACCTGAACAACAGAACCATCCTGGAGAACCATTTCGGCAAAATTGCTAAAGTGCAGCGCATCTTTACCAGGCGCAGCAAGAAGCTCGCAGTGGTACATTTCTTTGATCATGTGAGTATTTCCATATTGCCATTTGTTACCCTAGGTTTGAACCACATCACTGTAAAACTTGTTTTTTTTGGGGGGGGTGGGCATCATGGTCTATCAGTTATTTGTTTAATATAGATAGGGAAATTACTCAAATGTCTTATTCTTTTTTTTTTGAGATGGAGTTTTGCTATTGTTGCCCAGGCTGGAGTGTAATGGCACAATCTTGGCTCACTGAAACCTCTGCCTCCCAGGTGCAAGCAATTCTCCTGCCTCAGCCTCACGAGTAGCTGTGATTACAGGCATGCACCACCATGTCCTGCTAGTTTTGTGTTTTTTTTTTTTTTTTTAGTAGAAATGGGTTTTCTCCGTGTTGGTCAGGCTAGTCTCAGACTCTGACCTTAGGTGATCTGTCCACCTTGGCCTCCCAAAGTGCTGGGATTACAGGTGTGAGCCAGTGCACCCAGCCTCAAATACCTTATTCATCGTTTTTTGACACGGAGTCTTACACTGTTGCCCAGGCTGGAGTGCAGTGGCGAGATCTTGGCTCACTGCAACCTCCACCTCCCAGGTTCAAGTGATTTTCCTGCCTCAGCCTCCAGAGTAGCTGGGATTACAGGCACCTGTCACTGTGCCTGGCTGATTTATTTGTAGTAGAGACAGTGTTTCACTATATTGATATAGGCTAGTCTTGAACACCTGACCTTGAGATCCACCTATCTCGGCCTCCCGAAGTGCTGGGATTACAGGCATGAACCACCGTGCCCAGCCAAATACCTTATTCTTAAGATAGGCTGGGATAGCACTATTTATTTCATAACTTGGAGTATTCCAGGTCCCTATAGAATACAGTGCTCTAGAAATGCTGGGAGAGTTGTTCCCATGAAGTGAAATTCTCCTTAAAGGCTTTGGAGTAGCTCTAACTACATAGTACTTTTTTTGTTGTTGCTTTTGTTTCTTTTTTTGAGACAGAGTCTTGCTCTGTTGCCTAGGCTGGAGTGCAGTGGCACGATGTTGGCTCACTGCAACCTCTGCCTCCTGGGATCAAGTGATTGTTCCTCCCTCAGCCTCCCAAGTAGCTGGGATTGTGTGTGCACCACCACGCCTGGCTAATTTTTGTACTTTTAGTGGAGATGGGATTTCACCATGTTGGTCAGGCTACTCTTGAACTCCTGGCCTCAGTGGTCCATGCACCTTGACCTCCCAAAGTGCTGGGATTATAGGCATGAGCCACCGTGTCTAGCCCCCTCATTTTTTTTTTCTCCTTTTTTTTTTGAGACGGAGTTTCGCTCTTGTTACCCAGGCTGGAGTGCAATGGCGCGATCTCGGCTCACCGCAACCTCCGCCTCCTGGGTTCAGGAAATTCTCCTGCCTCAGCCTCCTGAGTAGCTGGGATTACAGGCACGCACCACCATGCCCAGCTAATTTTTTTTGTATTTTTAGTAGAGACGGGGTTTCACCTTGTTGACCAGGATGGTCTCGATCTCTTGACCTCGTGATCCACCCGCCTCGGCCTCCCAAAGTGCTGGGATTACAGGCTTGAGCCACCGCGCCCGGCCATGGTGTGTGTTTTTCTAGACGTTTTTATGAGTATCTACAAGGAGACTAAGATGTGTTTGGTTTCATGTGTTTTCTGTGATAAATGGCATCTCGTGTTATTCTGCAGCTCCCTTTTATGCTTCATTGTGACTTGGAAAACTTTGTTTCTGTATATGTAATTAGCTGGTGAGAATCATCTCACCAAATGTCAAAGAGGCCAAGTTTGTGAGTTCTATGAGGCAAAGTTGTTAATTTTAAAAAAGAGCAGAGCAAATTGATGCTTGTGAGACAGGTAAGGGAGATGGACTGCGTGGCCACAGCCGAAGGACCTGCAGGCAGCAGATGGGGGATGGAGGCATCACTGGCATACGGAGGACAGGGGCTCCTGCCGCCTTTGGATGGGTGTTTTGCTCACTGCGTTTGAGTTTTCAGTCTCGTTTCCTTTAGTCTCCTGATGTGCTCACACTTGGTGGTTGTTTTCTAGGCATCTGCAGCCCTGGCTAGAAAGAAGGGGAAAAGTTTGCATAAAGACATGGCGATCTTTTGGCACAGGAAGAAAAGTGAGTTTTCAATTCTCAGTTTTTAGAAAATTATTTTTATTTATTTA